GTGTCTCCTGTATATGTCGAAAACAGTAATTGCGGTTTACTTGCATAAAAGATTTAGTATACTCTGTGCAACTTTAGTATTAGCGTTTCAAAAGGTTAGTCACTTCTAAATTGTGGGTATAAATACAAAGATTTTTCGCTCACAGTGAGAACTTTTTTATGCTAACTTTTCATGATTAATTTTTTAGTTATGAATTTCTCAGAACAGTAGTTTTCTTTCACAGTAGTACACCATGTATTTGTTTTTTCTGCGACTGCATCTGAGGAGCAGATATATTGAAGTGTCTTAACCAGGTTTCTTTTATATCTTGGGGAATCCAACTAAGAGAATCGTAAAACCGTTTCTCTTAGTAATAGAAGTATGCTTTAGTTTACAATCGAAAAATACGCAATTCCTATCAATTCAAATAACACATTCAAAGAGGGAATAATAAATCAATATGAAAGCTATTATGAAAAAAAATTCAAGTGAGACAGCGTAGATGTGGTTCATGAGAACATGAAAATTCAGTAGAAATGTAAGGAAAATAATAAATACAGTAAAAAACAAATAGTAACGGTTCGACATAGAATCAAAAAGTCAACAGAACTTTCAGATGAAGAGATCAACAACAAAATGAAGTTGCAGTGATATGCGCTTGGAAGGATTTTCATACACAACTACACAAAACTTTCAAGGATTTCAGACCTAACTAAACCCTAGTAGTTTAGTTTTGGTCAAGATTTTCTGTTATTAATGAGAATAAGCTCTCAGTTGATGAAAATCATGTTTACGGTGTGATGCGGTTAATTATTGAAGCACTTCGACTCTGATGTAAACGTTTTCGATTCAATGCAATTTTTGTAGATACAAATGTGACCATATTTTATTGAGAGTATCGTTGCCGTTTTTCTGGTACATAAACATGCTAATTACTAACTTTTACTGTATAGCCAGCCATTTAATCACAAATAATCGACTGACCGTATAGTACATTGACGGCACTGTTCAGATATTTTATATTTCTTGTGAGAACTCAATTTCTTTAGTAGTACCACTCGGTAACTTAATAAGTGGATGGCAACATCGCATGTGTGCCGTTGCTAGCTTAACAATTAAGCACTTTTTAATTAAGCAATTTAAAGAACAACAATAGTTAATAAATCACTTACAATAACATGAGAGGCGTTTAAAATTGCACGGAAAAGATACTATTAGAAACACTATAAGTAAAAATATATAGGCAATTCAAATAATCACCAGTTAATAATTGTACATATTACCAAAAAACAGATGTGCCTCAAATATCTTCAATACGTGTAGGCTGTGATCATAGTACCAAGCAACAACCATTATGACTACTGACCGGAAATCAGCTTCAGGAAACAAATATTTGAAAATACGAACAACAATGGAGGTGACAATAAGTATAATGGAAGAACAAAATAACAGTCATGAGGAACACAAGTTCAAGTATTTTCTCCTATATTTCCTCGTGGACACATCAAAATAAATATTTACCTTACATGTTGCGCAAACACCGTTTTGATATAATCGTTTTCTGTGAATTACTTAATAAAACTAGTATACTTTTCAGAAGGACACGATAGTTTGACATTATGTTAACCTTGGTTTATTTTCTCTTGTCAGACTAAACAGTTGTAGTTTGATTGTTATAGATCATTCTACGGAAACCTGAAGCTCCATGTATCCTAACCACAGAGGTCGTCATATCAAGCGAATAAGCCAAACGTAAGGGATTTCTGCTCCTTGTCTTTCGAGATCCAATTAAAATGGTGACTGGAAATGTTAACAGATCGAAGTATTATCGAGGTTGATATTTTAGACGCTACATTAGTTAAACTGATTCTTCTCAGACTGTCCGAAGCGGATTTTTTATCCCTTTCTTGTAGACCGGAATAATCAGCAATCAAGATCAGTCAGATAGGATTACAGCCAGTTTCGATATCCTACCTGAGATCTCAGTCAATCTAACTGCTAAAGCTCGACCACCATCCTTTAAACTTTCAAGGGTCAATCCATTAGGACCCGCTGCTCTCCCTTGTTTCAGATTTCCTAAAGCCTTTATAACTTCGATAAGAGTTGGGGGACTTACATCGATTTGCCATTCAGGTCGATTGTAGATCGCGGGCAACCGAAGTGAGGTTGAAAGCCAGTTGAACTGATACCTAGTGTTCTGTCTATCGATCCGATCTGCTAGATTGAGAATGAATAATAAGACCATCCTTTCCTGAAATAGTTCCACTTACATTCGGATTCCTAACACTGGTTTCCCTGATAAGTCTGAATAGCTGTCTACCGTTACTTATCACCGCTGTCTTTCCTATCTCTCTCGCTTTTGCTACCCACCACTGTTCGTAATCATTGAGTAGGCTTCTTATCAGCCTGCGCTTAAGCTGACTCGGCTGTTCATCATGTTCAGATCCTGATAGGATGAGTTTCCGAGTAACTATCAGTTCAGTAGATGATACTAAAGTCCACTGATTCTCCTTTACCTTATTGGTAGATATCGCTGTTGTTCCCACAGCTTTATGGATATTATTTCATACTGTCTCGGCGTAGGCATTAATTATATGGCTGCTTAACTGTTTTTCTAGTTGTTACCGAAATATACTCTCTGCTTTGTTATCGAGCCTACCATACTGTAGGGAATAAAGTTTTCCTTGCAGAAAAGCAAGTTTTCTCAGCATAGTGTTAACATGTCAATAAAGCTGTAATATTGGAATCAAACATTTGACCATGGATATGAAGAGCGGATTTGGGGCGTTCATACAGAGAGCGAGACAACGAATATAACGATACAATGTCGTTTAACAATAACAGTGAATAAACCTGTTTCTTATGCAGTTTTATTTCACAATTCAATGAAAATAAATACTGAACTCCTCTTGAGATTGTAGCTCTATTCTGGTCTTGCGATTTGAAAACTAGTGCACAACGGTCAATTCCAAGGTTCACTAATAATTGACAGCATGATTACCGATAAATATGAGAAAACAAAGCAGCTTTGCATCGATTGATTACCGCATGCCAAATATAAAACGAAATCATTTATTCTTCAAACTATTCATCACACGTTAGCATCCAGCTTTCCAAAATGCTTCGTCGAGGTGCCAAAAAGGCTGCAGATAATATGGTCGGTTTTAACTGAAGAAACTTCCGGACATATCCAAAACGCATTTTGGTAATGACCATTAGACTACAGTTTAGTCACGTGTCGCGGAGAACTAATAAGTTTTGACCTGAATAAAAAGTTCGCCACTTTGCAATCTCTCCTGACACTAAACCAGATAGCTTCAGACTACGAGCCGATTTTAAGAGTATGTAGTGCATCCACATTTATTTGCATCCGCTTACATTTAATTTGCTTAAGCCCTTTCGATTAATTTATTTAACCAAGCCATTCGTATAGCAACAACTCATATGTACCATTGTTATTTTTTATTATCTGCTTTGTATGAGCTTATACGACTGAGCATTGCTTACGCTTACGCACTTACTCATCCTTTTCGCTTTAATGTTAATTTCTTAATATCCCTATGAACTCACATGATTTGTATCGCTTGCTTTTGACCTTGTCAATCATTCGTCGCTTTTATTCATGTGTGTGCATACCTACTTCGCTTGTCACATGTCTGTCTTATTTTTATCTGACTGTATATTCTTAGTCATGTTCTATCTCTTTGAGTTGGCTCTTAGCCTTCTCCTATTCGCTTCGCCCATTCGCTCGCATTGTAATTAGAAGAGTTGGCTCTTAGCCTTCTCCAATTCGCTTCTCCGCTTCGCTTTGTGGTGTGCCTCGAATAAACGTATTCATCAATACGAGTTCATCTTCTGATTTATAAACCGAGCTTAAGAACACGCAGTAAATCGGCACACTACAAGTATATAACGGAATCAAAATAAAGGCAGTACCATGAACACAATGACAGACTACTAAGGATAGCTAGAAAATGAGTATATTATTCAATCAGAAAGATGAATAGAAGTTAGGAGTAGTCTGTATTATATGAGCTCAATAAAAGGTTCATAGGTACATCAAATGAAGCTGTAGAGTTGGAAATGTGTGAATGTACTGTGTTTACCAATAAGTAAGCCGCTACAATCATTAGACAGATAAGTTCTATGATTTCTCTTGCGCATTTATAAATCCCTCCCAGTTTAGAAAAAAATGAAGAAGTTGGAGGCTAGATGCAATCTAGCCACCAGCCTTAAGAGTGGATAAGCGTTTTAAGTAAATACTATGCTTTTTGAATAAAATGATGAGAACCATTTTTATTTAATAACTAGGAAATCAGTTGCTATATATGTAGTTCAGACAGGAATGGTTGATCTCAATATGGCAAGGGATTTCTTTCAAGTTTACCTAACCTACATCAAAAGTAAACAATATTCATGAAGATAAAGCTATAACCTCAATTTCGTGGTCGCAATATAAACAGTGAACATTATACCATTTTCTATGTCACAAATCTGAACTCACAACATCACGGGTAATCACTTTTATCTTTGCGAAGTCGTAAACATACCAAGAAACATGGGTGTGCTGATTGTGAATAAGTACAAACAGCAACCGAGGATGGCATTACATCAGTTGTGTAAAAGTATCTTCTGATCGACATTCTCTGTAATGCTAAGCATCACTGAAAAGCTACAACTTCAATGAAAAATCCGGTTACTATTAATTTTGTTCCAAACAGTGAGTTTAGAATTGTTGTTATTTTCGAGAAACACATTATTGAACTAAGGCAATATGTAGATTATGGTCAGTGGTAAGAAACACTTTTACAGCAGTCTTCATAATAACAAATAGTTCACTTATTTTCAAAGTTTGTTTTTTCAAAACTTTACAAAAAGAAGTAGTATTTTCTGTGCATATGAAAAGGTAATGATCAAAGATACGTTATAAAAAAACATTTACTATGTAAGTAAATAGTAATATATACATTTAAGAGTAAAACAATGCTTTGTAAATCGATTCACAGTGGAAATTCATTTCTCTACCGTCCATGTCGTTCTCTACGTTCTTGATTAGCTCGTGGCTCCAAACCGAATGGTAGTAATGGACTGAAATACAAATGAAGAGAAATATTTATATAATCGTTACACACTCAACTATTCAGAAATTAAAGTATATTGTAAAATATGGAACAATTTTAATAATTATGAGTGTACTAAAATCGTATGTTCTCTATTGTGCGATAAGGAGATCAAATTCAGAAATGATTATGTGAGGCAGTGACTAGATTAAATAGACAAGGTCAAGGAGTGAAAAATTTATTATTAATGGCATGATGACAAAATCCAACTTAAGGCCTTCCTGGTGAGTAGTAAAAGTAGCCTTATTAGTCAACTTTGATGGCTGGCGGAGATCAGACAAATCTAACGCTCTGCTGCGTCATGGATGACTCAAGTCATAATTCTAAGACACTAAAATAGTAAAAGCTATCCATTGTACATGTTCATATATATAAATTGCATGAGTTTCGGCCTGTGTAATGTGTGTGAGTATACGCACAGGGTAAGCGTCGGGCTCGAGTGAAATGATCCAAGCAAGACAAAACGAAGCGTATAAACACAAGTGAAGAGATAGACAACTGTCTATCTTCCTTAAGTGTTTCCCGACCGTAGCTGCTACCTTGACGTGGTGGTCGGGCTTGCCTATCGTGATGACCCAACCGAGCTATACTGGCTGGAACATATGTTCCTGCAGGTCCTACCATGCCAGGCTGGTCAGTTGGAGAACGATGAGACTAAAAACAGCTACTCAAGATCTGAGGTCGAAGTCGTACTGCTGACTGCAAAGGGATGTGACAGCAGTAAGGTGTTCCCCTCGGACAACCAGCATCTACAGCGATGCTGCCTTCTCACAAGGAAGGTGGGGGGTTAGAAAAGGTCGACCCTAAAAATGTCACACCTCCCCTACCTCACGGATTTCCGTCTCTGGCGGTAAGGGTGCCCACCAGGGGCCTTTAAGAACGGAGCTAATCCTCAAAAATCGTTTCATAAAAAGGCCGTGCGTGACCGGCCTCAAGCAGTTGTCCTTTGGACTCTGCGGTCACGCAAACAGGTCTCCGAGACCAACACTAATCTATCTTCCTTTTCAGGTCCCTCAAGAAACAACCTTCCACGGTGTAGGCAGCCGGGAAGTGACAACCGCCCTCATACCCGTAACAGCACACGAGACCAAATTGGTCGAAATCAAATCCTTCCTACACCCCCTAATATCTCTCTTATCTCTACGACTAACTCTACTCACAGTCCCCTTTCTCACTGCACTGCTAATGCAGACGAAGCGAGTTCACGAAACGTCATTCCTGGTCTCTTAAAACCCCGTTCTAGACTACATGTTGGGGCTTTTAATGTACGGACATTGTGTCAAATAGGGAAACAGGCATCATTAGCTAGGACTTTAGAATCTCGTGCCATCGATGTATGCTGTGTCTCGGAAACACGCATACAGGATCCTAGTAAAATTATTAATCTGATTTCACCTTGTCAAAATAAAGAAGCAGGTCGATTTATTCTTCGTGTATCTGGAAGCCCTGATGCTGCTTCCAGGGGTCTTGCTGGCGTAGTTATAGCGTTGAGTCGTAAAGCTGAACAATCTCCCCTTGACTGGATCCCTGTAGATAGTCGCTTGTGTGCTGTCCGACTAAACGGGACAATCGCCGTTGCCTCTTCGTCGTATCGGCCTATGACCCCACTGACTGCAATTCAGACGAGGTGAAAGATGAGTTTTACAGAAAGCTTTCGGGCCTCCTCCAAAAAGCTAGGCGCTCTGATATAGTCTTAATGGCTGGTGACTTTAATGCTCAAGTAGGTAGACTAAGTGAAAATGAAGACACCTAGGTGGATGTTACGGTTCAGAGAACAGACAATGGTGACCGTCTGTTGCAACTATGCTCAGACAACCGCCTATTCTTAGGAAACACTAACTTTAGGCATAAGGAAAAGCATCTGTTGACCTGGCGACCTCCAAAGTCGTCTCAACGTTGGACCCAACTAGATCACATTGCCATCAGCCACCGATGGAGGGGGTCGATAGAAGACTGTCACTCGTTCTAGGGCACATGTTTAGATTCAGATCATGCCCTAGTGCGAGCTCGTATTTGTTTGAAGCTTATTGGGCGTAGGAAAGACACCGTAAGAAAGCCTCTTAGGGTTTTACTTAGTGATAATAGGGCGAAGAATATATTTCAGGAACCACTAGAAAAACAGTTAGGCAACCATCTAAGCGATTCCCATCCGGAATGATATCGAGAAGGCTGTGGAAACAGCAGTGATATCTGCTAGTAGGGTAAACCATAAGGCTAGGATGAAGCCGTGGATTTCAGTCGCATCCACCGAACTGATGGATGCTCGAAAACGCATCCCACCTGACTCTGAACATGATTAAGAGCGTAGTCAGCTTAGGCGCAGACTTATAAAAAGCCTACGTAACGACCGTGAACAGTGGTGGATGGAGAAAGCGAGAGAGATGGAAAAGGCAGCAGTGATAGGCAACAGTAGGCAACTATTTAGACTCATCAAGGAAACTGGTATTAGGAATCATTGTGTAAGTGAGACTATCTCAGAAAAGGATGGTCTTATTATACATTCTCAGTGCAGGAGACTGGACCGATAGGCAGAACACTTCAAGGATCGGTTAAACTGGCCTCGAGCCACTCTTCGGTTACCCACGATCTCCAGTCACCCTGAGTAGCAAATCAACGTAAGTCCGCCTAGTCTTTATGAAGTTGAGAAAGCGTTAGGAAATCTGAAGCGAGGACGAGCTGCAGGGCCTGATAGACTGACCCCTGAGATATTTAAGGATGCTGGTCCAGTTTTAGCAGCTAGGTTGACTGAGATCTCAGGTAGGATCTGGGAACTGGACGTAATCCCATCCGACTGGTTTCAGTCGCTACAAGAAAGGATAAAAGTCCTCTTGTGACAATCACAGGGGAATCAGTCTAACTAATATAGTATCTAAAATATTGGCCTCAATAATACTTCGACCCTTAACAAAAACTCGTGAAGAGCAGATTCGAGAAAACCAGTCTGGTTTTCGACCTAAACGTGGTTGTATAGACCACATTTTCACACTACGACAGGTCCTGGAACACAGACACACATTTAGGCGTCTTACAATAGTTGTTTTCCTGGCATTCGACTCAATGGATCGTGAGGTTCTGTGGCAGTGTCTGTCATTGAAAGGTGTACCAAAGAAGTACATTAACCTCATACAAGCCCTTTACTCGAACACCACTGGTCGAGTGAGAGCTTATGGCGAACTGTCATTGGAATTCTTCACTTCAAGTGGTGTCCGTCAGGGATGTCCACTCTATCCATCCTTGTTTACTTTTATCATAGACATGCTCCTAGAAATAACCTTATCCTCGTCTGAATTTTCAGGAGTAGACCTTTTACCAGGCGACTCGCTTATTAACTTAGAATATGCCGATGATATAGTCCTACTAGATGCAGACGCTGACAAAATGCAGTCTTTTGACCACCCTAAGCAAGCATGTTCGGAATGCGGTTTTCCTCCTCGAAATGCAAAATGTTGTTTCAAGACTGGGTTGCATCGGCACCTGAACTAGTGATAGGGAGTGAAGTAGTCGAACGTGTAGACCGCTTCATTTATCTTGGGAATCTCATCAGTGCTGATGGTCTGGTGACTGACGAAATCTCAGCACGGATACAGAAAGCTCGATTGGCTTTTGCCAACCTGCGTCACTTATGGCGAAGGCGAGATATCCGTTTGCTGACTTAAGGACGAGTGTACTGTGCAGTGGTTCGCTCCGTCTTACTTTATGGCTGTGAAACATGGCCACTCAGACTAGAGGATATTCGTAGGTTACTGGTTTTCGATCATAGGTGTCTTCGAAGCATTGCTCGTATATCGTGGGACACCCGAGTGAGCAACGCTGTTATTAGGAATCGGGTGCTGGGTAAGAATGGCAGATCAATAGATGAAGTAATGAAACTTCATCAGTTGAGGTGGTTGGGACATGTGTTGTGTATGCCCAACCACCGACTGCCTCGTCGAGCTTTGTTTTGTAGTGTAGGAATAGGTTGGAAGAAAGTTAGGGACGGCCAAACCAAAACATGGCACAAATCCATGAAGTCATTGACGAGTGGACTTAGCCTTGTCGGTAATTGTCGACTACCTGGTTGGGGTCCGCGAGATGATAATAATCGATGGTTAGAGACCCTGAATGACATGGCTCAAAATCGTTTACAATGGCGCCAGTGCATTTATTCTTTGTGTTCTCTCAAATCCTAATCTTCTGGTTTCTTCAACTTTGTAAACCTTTCCCACTGAATCATTCTTCTTGAATAATATCTTCTCATCCCAACCTCTCCGATTACTTCTAATACCTTTACTACCTCTTCTACTATTGGATTTGAATTGACGATTACTGCTCTGTGCTGATGTGGTATGGCGACATGAACTGATGTACTTACGTACGAAGTTCTGCGTTGCATCTGACTGACTGACTTCCTTAAGTGTTTAAGCGTACGTGTATGCCATCAAATACAAAAGAGCAAGCATAGGTACCGGTGGTATACAAGTAATTTATTAAGTGCTAGAAAACGATAGCAAATAAAAATGAAGAGTGGTGACCATCAACACTCTTATAGTGCAAGGGATACATAGTGAAAACCTGCTTCCGGAATGCAACTAACGTATACCTGTCCCGGGCTCAACACCGGTGCGCCAAGACCCAAGTGTTCCCAATGACCTATCCATAAAACCATAAGCACGTGGTGGGTTTATATGACTTGAAATGACAATGTTCCTGCTAAAAAACCAAGACGTTTATTTAAATGAAGCTACTCCATCTTGTAATTGCTGGTACACCACAATAATGGTGCTAGATAACGACTGTCACAAAGAGCGAATTGACTAAAGTTGGAAATGCTAGTGATCTAAAAGTAACATGCTTGTCGTGGGACCTCAAGATTATGAGCTTCGTGCCTGACAAGGTAGTGAGTGCGCAAGGACAAGTACTGCTAAATTAGGATAAATTATCTATCCAATACTTTTTAGTTTCTAATGATTACCCTAATGGATGTTGATGTGTTAACAGGACTCCCTAAAAAGGTAAAACTAATCTTCACAACTAACCGAAAACGCTACAAAGAAATAATTTGAACGATAGAAGATAGCGACGAAAAGGAAGTCAAAGTTGTTTATTGAAGTAGAACTAACCTCTACACCACAAAGAAGAACAGTAAAATAGTATTCAACAGTTTAACCTTTTTATTTAAAAAAAACCCCACTTACATAGATCTAGTACCAATAGGCCAATTAGGTAAAAGTGATGTAGTATGCAATGGATTAATAGTCGGGATTTTCATTCCAAATGGTACATTTGGCACACTGGATAGATTTACAGTATTGTAATTGGAGAAAGCACCACGTACAGTACCGAATCTTGCTCCACGACCTGTATAAAAGAATAAAATAAACCATCCAGCAATGTAATAAATATGAACTTAAATTATTTTGGAATCGTTGTAATGAGAAGAACAGTTGTAAAGAGAAGTATAATTTCAATGTAAATATCTTAAAACAATTTCTTACAACTGAAATAAACTTTAAATATATTGAAAGAGCACGTAAAAACAATAGTATGCTTACCTCTCATTGTTCTATTATCACGATATTGCCTAGGATGAGTTGTTTCCTAAAAACAAAATTTTAAAAAAAAAAATGTAAATGACAAATTAAAAACAATCGGAATTGGGGATTATAATCAAAGACTCAACAGTGAATATACAAAAGTTTGTAAATAAAATATCCAACAATATTATGAACAGGATTCAAATTAATATTTTTTCTTAACAATTCAATGATAATAATTGTGAATGAATTGCAAACTTCATTATGAGTTTGAATCTCTGAGAATAGTACTACAATCAACAATTTAACGAGAAATCGATTGCATAACAAACAGGCTTTTACACATAAATTATATGATACTCTTGATTTTCTTTGAGTCTGAAATGAATAAAAATAAGAAAATAGTTTGCTGAAATAAATTTCAGAACATGAACTTTAACCAGTTGACTATTCATTCATTCCATTTTATGTTATTAAAATCTTTAAAATAATTGAATTATATTATATATTGAGGATTTTAAAAAAAACTATTACAAGACACTATAAATATATATCTTATCAATAAAATACCCTCGGATATGAAATTATCGTTAGAAATGTTTACACTTGAAGGATATTTTAGGTATGATAAGAAAAAATTAGTGAATAAAACTGATCTTGATTGACAAGCGAAAAACCCATACTTCAATAATGCCTTCTTCTTTTTCTAATTTGGTGAAATCATCAACGTGTAGACTGGGAGGACGACTTGTATTTAGTGGCCTGGAACGGAATGGATCTCCACGAATACCAGCTACATTTGAATTGATTTGTCCAATATTAGATCCTAAAGCAGCAGGAGCAGTATTATTAGGTGCAGAACTGGATGAGGTTGCGTTGCGTAAGACAAAACCTCGACCACGCATTGGTGCAACTGAAATAAAAAACAATAACAAATCGTTTAATTTAATACCATAATCTTTATTCACAATTAGTCAGTCAGTCAGCTACAACGTAGAACTTCGTACATACGTACATCAGTCTATATTGCCATACCATATTAGCACTGAAACGCAGTTTTCGATTCAAATAGTAGTAGTAGAGGTAGCAGAAATATTAGCGGTGATCGGAGAGATTAGGGTTCGAAGATATTATTCAAGAAGTAGAATCTAGTGGCATAACTTTAGAAAGAGAAAGATAAAGGTGACAAGGAATTCAGAAAATTAGGATTTCAGCGAATACAAAGAATGGATGCACCTGTGCCATTGCAAACGACGTCGTTCAAGATCTCTAACCATCGGTTACTGTCGTCTCGCGGACCCTAACTAGGTAGTCTGCATCTACCAACATTACTCAGTTCACTTGTCAATGACTTCAAGGAATTTTGCTGTTTTGGTCTGGCCACTTCTAGCTTTCTTTCACCCTATCCGGTTTCAATACTTCATCTATTAATCAGCAATCCTTACCTAGTACTCTTTTCCTGACAACAGCATTGCTTTCATGGTGGCTCCAGGATATACGAGCAGTGCTTCCAAGACAAATATGGTCGAATACTTGTAACCTACGAATATCTTCTACTCCTACTGGTCATGTTTCACAGACATAAAGAAGGGCGGAGCGACCTGCAGCGCAGTAAACCCGTTCTTTGGTTGTTAGAAAAAATTAAGAATCTTTAGTATGGAATATACACTACTATGATAAGTTCCTGTTACAAGAATAATTGCCTTTTATTCTTCTAGAATTAAATGAGAATGAGAATATGACAACCATTGTGGTAGTTCCGACTAGCTTCGCAGCATAAAGTATCACTATAAGTTGTAAGCTTTTGATAACAGTGTGTGAATACGCCGTGACACTGAAATACAGAGTTGGGTGATTTAAACAAATCGACTATAAGAAACAAAATTGTTGATAAGTGATAATGACAATATTATTTTCAAGACTGTAACATATCGTGGTTTGTTTTATACAATAATTTAAACTGAAACTTATTTTAGGGTTTAAAAAAAACCACTAACCGAATTTTTTGAAAGTTGTCCCGGTTTGTATAATTGAAGTCTGGCCACGTCTACGTTTCTGATGTCTAATGGCTACTTCACTTGCATCATGTAAATGTCCGTATTTGGCTAATTCATCACGAATTTGCATTTTATTACAACCATTCGTTGCAATATCATTCAGATCACAATGTACTAAATCATTTTGATAAGAGATGGTGGATACTGGGATCTGTATGAAGAGGTGGATGAAAAACGAGAAATTAGTGACAAGAATGATATTTGGGCAGATAAAAAATTTTAACTAAATTTAGAAGCACATAAATTACATTCACATTGCTTTTTATATTTTAGAGTAAGAAATGAAGGCAATAACAGATGTGATAAAAGTGGAAAGCAAAGGAAGAACAGAGAAATTTAGGAAAACTATCAGACAAATTATTTTTTCATTGATACAACTGGCTGAATTATGCGTATCGCTAAAGCCACTCTAATGCGAAGATGAGCAAGTACATATACCAAAAAAAGTCTAGTATTGCGTGATCATGGTTAACTATGTAGTGTAGAATAAACTATTTCATACTTTTGAGCTACCTTTAATGATAGCGATTTTAGGATGCATGATGTGATGGATTCAATTTAATCTAAGGTTAACGACAATACAGCTATGAAAATTCAACATTTATCCCTTTCATGTATGACTCACTTACTAACTTACGCCTGTTACCCCCTAATGGAATATACGCCACCAACCATCATTCTCTAGACTACTTTGTTCTCGACCCTCCATTCCAGTTCTATCCAATTACTATTCATTCTTAACAAGTCTGCTCCCGATTCCCCACGTAATATGTTCTTCAGTCTTCATAGTCTCTTTTGGTTTCGGGACTCCAAATGACGGCTTGAATTGTAATACAGTCGGGTACTTTCCATATTGTCCCATTCATCGAAAGCGCCTTTTCTTAATTTCCTCCTAAGCAAGTCTCTGGTGGATGGAGAAGTGACATTTGATACGAGTATTTACTCAGCTATTAACATCACGATCTTCATAATAAGGTACAGAAATGTTATCAACATAATCTACCACATATGCTAAATTGTTTATTATCTTTTTCCAAGGTCCTATTCTCTGTATACGATAATGTAGAAGTATTCAATCACCTCATTTCATTGTGTGGATTCATTATTCGAATTAGCAGTCCAGATTGATGAATGAAAATCTTCGTAAAGAGAATAAATGTAAAAATAATTTTAAACTCTATCATGTGATAGATGGAGCCTTTGGATTCAACCCTGAATTAGTCAAACTAATATGTAATAGTTCTACAATGTATTGTATTTTCATTCCAATGATGAACTGGGTGATGCCTGTTCGTGATGAAAACTGACCTTCAAATGATGGAAAATTTCTCAGAAAATCATTAGAGTGATTTTAACAGTACTTTATCCAAAGACTACATACACGAAAATGTTTAAATCTATTTTAAACAGCCTACAAATATCACTAGCGTACAACTTTCATCTGAAAATCAACTCAACAGATTACAACACAGAACGTATAATCGCGGTAATCACCATTTCATTATTAGTCAAAGTGATTAATAACTATAAAGATGTGATTATAATCATAGCAACAATAGTACTAAGGAAAAAAAACCAGCTATCATTTACCTGATGACCAATAAATTTTGATCCATTTAAAGGTAATTCCATATCGACATCTTCGAAAATTTTATCATATGCAACTGAAAAGTTTTTCAATACACATTTTGTTGATAATTGATCTTGTGGTTTTTTTATATTATTACAATCTAAATTCAGTTTGACCACATTCTTTTGATGATCTCGTATTAATACATTCAATGAACGAGCGTTTGGTAATTTTGATCTCAATTTATACAAATTTAATTCATCCGATGAAGTATCGTCATTTGTTGTCGACAATCTAGCAGCAGCAGTAGACGCGGTTAATTCTTTCAATTCAGGTATATCATATTCATGAGATAATAAAGATAAGAGATTTTTCATGCCACTTCTTAAATATTCAAGTGATGGTTCATCATCAGCTAACATCTAAACAATCAAATTTCGAAAAGAAAAAACAAACTGAGCATAAATTGCATAACTTCACATGTTAATGAGAGACAAAAATGAATTGTGCTTTAATGATACTTGATTGAGATAAAGTTAGCTGAATCTGACTGTTCGATAAGAGAGCTAGTGACATACTAGAACACTGGGTTATAAACACACAAACAATACAAAGTAGTTAGCATGTGTTATAAAAAGTACAATGACTATTACAAAATAAGATAGTGATATGTCTAGTGTAGCTGGATAAATCCAACCAGGTAGTCTACATCTATCAGCATGTGCTATGCAGTAAACTCATCTTTTGTCAGGCAGATAAGTGTAAGTGATACATTTGCACAGAAATAACATAATTATCTGAACGCATTGTACAAGTGTGTTGAGATTCAGTCAGTTACACTTTAAATCATTACAAAAAACGAAAATTCAACAGGAGAAAAATTGAAAACGTGAAAAAAGTGGAACAGATAATACATTTAAAAAAAACTAATCCTAATCCGCATTAAGCAGTTTAGGTAGTAAAGGCTGATAGCACAAATGAGCCAACGAGAATTCAAATGTACTGTGTTTCATAACTGAACTATGTGTAGAAACGTAATAAAAAATCTATGCAAAGTTTGTAAAGCTTTATAATAAATAAGTGGATTTGTTTACTAACCTCCAATAATGCATGAAGATCTCGTACAGGCTTGCCTTGATCACCACTTCCAAACCAACCTAATAATTCACGAACACGTTCACCGGAAATATGAAGTTGTCTAGTACATAAATTGCTTGTTCGATTTATAGATTTATTATCTGTTTGAATATTGGATGATGCATCGTTGAATTCATCGTCGCATTCATTCCAACTAATGTATTTCGACATAAAAGTTAATGGCAAAGTACTATGATCTGTTACTAATGATTGAATCAATCTTAAACAACCAGTCAATGTAGCTTGACAATCTGGATTATCTGCACTAAAACTATCATTGACACGTTGAACTAGATTAGCAAATAAATGTTGACCATTATTAAATGCATAAGAACTATCCAATGATCTATAAAAATATTTTAATGATAAATACAAAATAGAAATATAAAATTACAAGAAAAAATATTAAAAATACAATGCAATTAGAATATTAACCATCATATACAAAGAATTTATGCTTTAAAATGTCACTTTCTTACTGAATTATTTCGATATGTGATTCAATACAATGATGGAGTATCATGTTATTCAGTTTGGGCAAGTGAGAAACATCACAGTGATATCACAGTATGATTGGGTAAGAAGAATAAAATTCAAAAACTACAGTTCAATAGTTTAAAATTGATTTGTTCTTTTATTTCACTGTTTTATCTAAATTAGCTAACCGAATAGTACACATATTATAAGTCCTATCTTATAAATAAATCTAGGTATAAGGAATCTGTGGTCGGCTATCAAAATGGACTGATAAGAAAATAATGTTATTTGAATACTATAAACTGTAAAAAATTTCAACATAAGTTCTATTAACATATGGAACATTGACTTAATTAAATGATGAATGATACTTAATGCTAGAAAACAGAAATCGAATTATAAAATCAGTTACAAACTAATTTGTATACTTTTTTTTACAAAACCTAAACACAATAAGAAGTCAATGTTCATGTTTCAGGACTTTGTGATTGTTAGTTAAATGCACACAATAACTGAATATTTTAGAGTACAATGTTACTAGCATTACATCCCTACTAAGTAGAGCTACTCGTATGCGAAAGATTTCAAAGCAGACAAATCGTGAATATCAGATAAGTTGTTGCAATGCCTTTAGTTGTTTGTATCCTTGTTAATGGTATTCACTATATTGCATTTATTTTCGGTACAGTTTACATTTCCAGCTCGAAAAAATATTAGCCATTCAAACGAAGAGAAATTCTTTATTTCTCGACTTGATAAAACTAGACATTGAAATCGGTAGGCAAAATATGCATTTTTTTTTTTGCAAATACTTACACCGGCGATTAATAAATCCAACTTATAATTTTAATACTAAACAATAAACCAGGGAAAAGAAATTACTATATTATTTATATATATACATATATATATATATATATAATGAGAAAATGCTAATTTTTGATTTAAAAGCAATAATCTTACTCTTTAACTATCACAAAACCTGGATCATGTTCTGTGATCAAAATTAAAGGATCTAATGCAGACGGTAAAGTAGTCATATCTCTGTCAGGATGATTAATATGTTTGATAAGTATGAGAACTAATTCTTTGAGTAAATTTAAATCAGGTAAATTATCCGCCAAAAATTGTGCTTCATCTTCACCGTTATTAACAGGATTGTCATCATCAGCATCATCATTATCATCATCATCATCCGAACGTTTGATATCATTTTTATGAGTGTAATTTACATTACTTGTTGTTGTTGCTATTGTTGATAAGTTCACATCAACAAGAAGACTAAGACATTGCTAAAATAATAAACGTACAAAATTACAATATGAGTAAATATTCATTTCTTGAAAAGATCTATGTGTAGAGAAAAATGTTTGGTCATTTATTCACAAATGAAATGGCTTTGTGCATCATTTTCACATTGATTAACAAAGCTGCCTAAATACATACATACATAACCATATAAATAATAAATACAAATTAACACTGACAAAAAAAACTCCGAATTCACAATATAGTTAGAGATTTAGTCATGATAGCATAAATCTACTTAGTTTTTTAATCGGCCTCGAACTTCTATATGATTTCACAGCCAAAATGACTGGAAGTGAAGTATGATCATTAAATTTCCATGTTTTTTTCTCATTTCTATCGATTAAGTCAGCATAAATTTAGTTTAATTTATTTTCAATGCATCTTTATAACATTAATTAGTGCACAGTGACCTTAAATTCAAGTGACGATTGCTCAATCATGCTAAAAATAGAATTCAGTACCAATCAACTAAAACGTTTTATGAGTGAATGAGCATATATTCAGAGATTAATGAAAATATTATCAATTCAAATTAATCAAATAATTAATTAATTCAACATACAAGAAGCTTAATTTGTACAGAGATGCATGAAGTTTTATCAGAATAATCTAATAAAACTGATTCGACAACATTTAAAAAATTCTGTCGACGAAGATTTGCTGATGCTGAAGGTTCTGGAGTGGAACGCGATTCTTCAGTATCATCAGGTCGATGATTAACCCTATAGGATTTGAAAAAAAATATTATTGAAAACATGAGAGTAACCCTATAGACAACAGAAATGCTTATAATATATCAGGATTATAACTATTTGTAAACATTAGGATTAAAGGATATTTTTAAACAAAATAACTGTTAGGATATTCATTCAATATCCTAAAAAAATTATTTGTAAGTTTGATTCTATAGGTCGTCCTAACTATCAATGTCACATACTTCAATGTTGTTCCTATTCAGTCAATCAGTTAGTGAGTTGCAACATAGAACTTAGTACATGAGTATATAAGATCAGGTTGCCATACCCCATCAGCACACAGACGCAACTGTCAGTTCAAATCCAATAGTGGCAGAGATAGTAGAAGTATTAGCAGTAATGGAGAAGGTTAGGGTTCGAAGATATGATTCAAGAAGTATAATTCAGTGATATACCTTTAGCAAGAGAAAGATAGAGATGATGGGAAATTCAGGTTAATGTTCATAATCGACCTAACTGTATAATTTGATATTCTTGAACTATTACGAGTTCACCTAAGTCGGTGAATGAGAGCGAGGATCGATAATCCGGCGACACGACAGGTTACTCTAATCCGAGCGTCCTAAAACACCCCAATGAATAGAAGACTTGATATGAAGTAGAAGGTGTATTCTAAAAATATCCAGAAAATATGAGGTCCGAGTCCAGAAGAAGATAGGGATTCCGGACTAAGGATCTGGGTCCTAAAACTTTCGAAGATATTATTAAAGAAGTAGAATCTTGCGGCATAACTTTAGAAAGAGAAAGGTAGAGGCGACGAGGGATTCAAAAGGTTAGAATTTGAGAAAACACAAAGAGTGGATGCACCTGCGCCATTACAAACGATTTTCAGCCATTTCGTTCAAGGTCTCTAACTATTGGTAGCCTTCATCTACCAACATGACTCAATCCACATGTCAGTAACTTCATGGATTTGTGCGATATTCTGGTTTGGCTGTCCCTAACTTTCTTCCATCCTACTCCTACACCACAAAACAAAGCTCATCTAGTCAGTCGGTGATTGGGCATTCGTAACATATGTCCCAACCACCTCAAACTGATGAAGTACCACTACTTAATCTATTGACCTGCCATCTGTACCTAGAACCCGATTCCTAACAACAGCATAGCTTACTCGATAGTCCTAAGATAAACGAGCAACGTTTCGAAGACATCTATGATCGAAAACCAGTAACCTACGAATATCTTGTACTCTGACTGGCCATGTTTCACAGCCATAAAGTAGGACAGAGCGAACTGATGCACAGTACAATTGTCCTTTGGTTAGCAGACCGATATCTCGTCTATGCCGTGCTGAGATTTCGTCACACACCAGGCCATCAGAACTGATGAGACTCCTAAGATGAAATAAGCGGTCTACAAGCTCATCTGATTCACTCCCTATCAATAGTTCAAGTGCCGATGCAAGCCAATACTGAGGCGAAATTTTGCATTTCGAGGGATAAACCGCATCTCGAACATGAATTGTTGCTTAGGGTGGTCAGAAGATCACTAGTGCAAATGATGATGATAACACACTAATTAAAGTGCAGTAAAGAAAAACAAACAACTTACGACTGCTGACGCAATGCGTCTAATAAGGCATATCGATAAAATGGTATTTTAAGAAGAATGAATAGCATAGATAACGTAGCATTCAATTCAGTTGCTTCAATTTGTTTGATTGAAAATTTTGTCAAATTTGTATGACTACTGTTATAATTATTATTGATTGGAGTAGTAATATTCAATTGTGAGTTGACTGCAACAGATGAATCAGTCATAGAACTAGTTTGCCAAGAATTAATTCCTAAATCCTGTTGTGATGTTAATCGTGGATCAACCATCGGTTGTGGATTCAATAATAATTTTGTACTGGGTGTATTTAATTCACCAATTAAATGATCATATTTATTCGTTGAAGATGATGAAGATAAATTATCACCTGTTTTTGTACTAAATACAGAAAATAAATAAATGTAATGAATTATATATATAATGGTATATATATATATATATATATATATATATATATATATATATATATATATATATATATAATGGTGAATATCAGAGAAGGAGACTTAAAGAAAGATAAGAGTGATGAAATAAAGATGAAGCATCAGCACCTATGAATTTATCGACTACTAGTATAAATCAGAGAAGTCTCAGGTTGAAACGTCAAAGACTACTAGAACTTGTGATAAAAGATACTTCTTGACACGATCCCAACTTAATCACCATGGTGACACAGTTGCATTCAGAATAGCTCTTTCAAAAAATACTTAATTCAATTTCATTTCATACTGCATATTATTGCTTTTACTTTATTCTTTCCAAATTACGTTTCTAATATTTAGCTTTTCATTGTAATTTATGTAATTATTTCCCTATCTTAAGCTGCTCAGACAGCTGATTGTTAAACTGATGTGAAGTGTAGGAATCTGGACCAACAAATGTCATTTAGAATTGAAAAGTGAAAAATGATTGAATTTTCATACGCTACACTTCAGCACAATAAAAGAGAGAAAATCAAAAACGAGTGAAGCCCATAAATGATAAACAAATAATACAACTAATGGGAGCAATCTAAACTTTCATGATATAGGCCGATAATAAACTGCTGCATCATGAAAGACTTTGTGAAGGAGTTTGATCAACTTTCAGATATTTCTTAATTGTCAGACTGAGCATTAATATCAACTGGTGGTTTCAAATCGCAACACCTTTACTCTAATTCCAGTTTGAAAAAGTAATGAATCAGAACCCGACTGGTGTCCAAACTGAAGCTCAGAATACAGGTGGGGTTAACAAAGAAAATTCGAGTGACTGAATGAAAACATAATAAGAGAGAGAGGGAGAATAGTAACATTCCTAAGTGAAAATTCGATAGGTAATCAGTGAAACAAAATTCATACCATAACTTCTCTATATTATCTCCATCATTTAATGTACTTTCAGTTGATTGTTTTTCTTGTTTTTCAGTATCATTCAGAATTTGATTTCTAATCTTAAAGATAAATAGAGATGAATGGATAAAAATAAAGAATTAGATGATTATGAACAAAGAAAGAAGGGCAGTTAATACAAAGTGGAATAATCGGAATGTCAATTATATTGTAACAACAGAACTAATTCAATAGATTATCCGAAGTAAACTTGATTTAGAAAACTGAATCATGTATTTTTTAGATAGCCGAGATTTGTAGCTCAGATGAATGATTTTAATGGGTTTTCGATTTCTGATTTGACCATATTGCTTGATATCTCAACTTCCCTTGCAAAAATTGTCAGATTAAGCTATCCTGCTTAGAGTACAAAACTATCAAAATGATACTTGGGGTTACATAGGAATTCACATCAATTAATTGGCCAAGGATATCTAGAACAGTCGAATCAGTTATTAGTTTATTTTCCTAAAATGAGGATAATCTAACGAGTTCACAATGTAGTTGGTTAATATCACTAACATAACCGATACTGTGGTTGATCAATACACCATTTGGTTGAAAATGAAATTTATGTATTTAACATCTGGTAGTTCTAGTCTCATCTGGAGAATGTCAAGGTAATAATCAGAGTTTGTAGCAAACATCAAAGTATGACCATCTAGGTATCGTTTTAACCATCAGTTTCTTTGAGGGTTATTAATATGGTTAATAATTTATTTAAAGATCAACAAACTTTAAAAAAAGCATAGAACTTGTTCATAAACTCTTTAGCAGAAAAAATATTGAATCGTTTTGAATAATAAAAATTTACGATTACAACACCTTTAAAGAGAAAAATCAAGTGGAACTTATTTAAGGATCAGAGTATTACAGAAATCTTTCGAGACAACTTGGACAAAGACATCCAATAAACTTGTATATATATAGCTATGCAATTGATATAGATTAAATCTAACAGACATGACATCTGATCTGATGTGATATGAGATACATGAAAACGTACAAAATAGACTGGTAATAAGATAAGTACATAGTGGAATACTTGTTTAAGTACTTAGTAGGAAGACTAAATTTTTGCAGGTGCAAGTTGATGGTTGTCTAAATCGATGTAAACAAAGTGAAGTTTAAAACTCTGAGTGGAATCATTGGGTAGATGAATTTTCAATTCGTTTTTAATCAATCAGTATATAGTATTGCAAATGAATAGTCTATGTAAACGACAATAACATTACAAAGTGTTTATTGATTTTACATACTTAATGAATTTATTCAAGTTGCTAACAGATTTCTTTACATGTAAGATCAAGACTATGGGTATAGGTTTAAAAATTAAGGATGGTATCGTATAAAAACTACAGTATTTTATACGCTTAAGCATATCACCTGTATGACGGTAAAACATTTATCTTAATCTTATCCATTCTCAGCACACTGTATGAAGATTGTTCAACTACTCACTCATTTGTGCGTCTCACCCAAAAAACTAAATAATCGTTTTCTCAATTCTGACTAGTTCGCCTATTCTACCGGTAAAATATCGGCTAACACTTAATCATTTACGACAGTATAACACGATTTATAACCTAATGAGGTGACTAAAGAATTACATGTGAGAATATCAAAAAAAACTGGACATGAAAATGCAAATAAAAATGTCATGAAAATACTTACATCACCGATATTATCTAAACATGCATTAGCCAATAAACTGGCAAATGGTAAACGACAAATATCTGCTAAACGTTCAACAAATTTAAATAGATTACAGAACAGTAGATTGTTAGGTGATGAAATAGTTGCACTTAATAACTGTATCATTCCTGTCAATTCGGAAGATACAGCAAGGAGATGTGCAGCCCAAATATCTCGAGAACTATTTATCTAAGGAATGAAGATTTTAAATAAAAAAAACGAGAGAGCCATCAATTTTTTAATACACATTAAAGACGACTTTACTGACTGTTTACAAGTGATTAAAAGAAATGAATTAATGTAATATATTACAAGAAACTTCGGAGAAATGCGAAATAAATACGAGAACACAAATGGAATCAAGATTTATGAGATCAGGACTACTTCGTACATATGCTTTCAGCTAGTTTTCATCATAAATCTACAATCGGTAAAAACGAACATAGAGACGCCGGCACAAATGTGAATTAGTCTGAGTTGTCATACCACATTGGTATGATGAGATGAAATTGACAAAATGAATAGCAAATGAGTTAAAACAAGATGCTAGCAATGAGAGAACGGAAAAATTAAACACTAAAAATATGGTTTTAAAAAGCTGAATAAGATTTAAGAGAAAGAAAACGGATGAATGCATTTCCAATACTATGACCATGCGTGTCGTGTGGACCCCGACCAGCTAGCCCGTATTTACCAACATAGCATAGATTAATAGTTAATGACTGGTTCCACGTCTTAATTTAGATAGAAATTAGAGGACCATTGGAAACCGAGTAGTCCCAAACAGCTGATTTATTCTGGATAAAGCATGGGTACCATGATTGGATTCATGTTTCATAGGAAGCACAATGATAGTGAATTAGTGAATTGAATTAAGGATCAACATTTATTCTTAGGTCTACATATGACAGCATGAAATGCATTCATTGTGACCAGTGAATTACCACACTAGTTCCAACTTCATCATCTACTACGCTTAAAACCAGGAAGATATCTGTCGATAAATTTAATGCGAGCATACTACGCTTCTTCATTTTATATCAGTTCGTGATTAAGAATAACCTCCAATCAAAAAATTTATCCACGCTTTCTAATTTAATGTTAACCTAGATGTATTCGTTCAGTTGAAACAGACAATTTAAAAAGTATTCCACTATCTCTGTTTAGAGACAAAGTACAGTTCAAACTGAAGTTAACGGAAACTGTGAAGATTTTTGATTATCAAATGTAGTCGTCATTAAGAATATAAATAGTATCTGATTTATTTACAACTCGGTAATAATCAATCAACTATAAGGAACTCAAACTTATATTTTTTTTATCTAAACAACAAAATGGAAAATATTTGTTTAGTGAATACACTTAGTCCTATCAAATTAATTTTCTTAAACTTCCACCTTATTACACAATTTTCTCTTGACAATTGAAAATTCCAAACTCTTTATTGTGCTTTGCACTCTAATTTCAGTAAAGAAAACTTAAGTTTACCAAATTACCATAATAACTACAATTGCACAGCTTGATTAAATGTATATTATTAAAAAAAGACAGTTTCTTTGCTGAAATTTCTGTTATCTCTTTGCAATGAAACGATAGATTTCTTTTGTTATTGATTCATTTATTTACTCTACAGCTGACATGATCTCACAAAACAGTAATAGAGATTAATATATTCACTTTCTATATCAATCAACTGATTTTGTAAATATTTGTCATGTAACGACGACACAGTGCCACAACATCAAGAAGTCAATGGTAGCCAACAAATTATGATAGAAGTTTTTTTATTATCTATTATAATCAACAACTTTCTACTTATTTAAAATAAGTAATCATTTTGATACTCACTTTAGATTCATCATTCGAACTGAATGATGCTTGAACAGTAACAACCGGCAATGGTAAAGGTAATAAATCTAAGAATATCAATAGACCCGATAAATAAAAACACGGTGATGATATAGTGAAGTGGATTAATTCTTTCAACATCAAAACCCAATATGATTTATTAATTTCTAGGAAAAAAAAGAAAAAACAAAAATAATTAAGGATAATTAGGTTAGACAATCAACTCACCTTCTTCTTATGATGTTACGGAAATTCAAATACCTTACGAATTAACGTAGTTATGACTCAATTTATCAACCAGGCAGAAAAATTATAGACAAGCAAAAGTTAAAGAACGAAATCAAAGGTGATACAATCAAAATAACGAGGCAGACAAGGACAGGTCAAAGGTCATTGACAAAACATCGAAGAAAACAGGACAAACTACAAGTCAAACGTAGAGAAATCTGAATACTTCGCTTCTACTTGAAATTCGTGCTAGTGATGTTGTTTAGAAAAACAATCAAAGTTCCATAACCGAACAATCCAGCTTAGAGAAAGAAACTCCAACATAATCATCCACCTGAGCTACAAGTTTTCTAAACTATTTGAATTCTATATTTGTTCGACCCTACTTCTACATCAGTATAAACTGTCTGTTGACGTAAGCACCAATTTTTCAGACGTATGGTATGTTCTAGTAGTCTCAATCAATGAAAAATAATAACGTGATCAACCGATTTGTCACTCTAGCTCAATAACCAATCCTTAAACATCAAGATTGCTCGCTCGGTCGTTCCACGAAATGTGATCAGCGCTTTGATTTCACAGACGACGTTTCACAACCGTGATGTAATACAGAGCATATCATACACGTCCTTTGATTGGCAGACAGATATCTCGCCAATACCACAAATGACGCAAGTTGGCCAAGGCTAACTTAACCTTTTGAATCCGTGCTGATATTTCGTCAGAATTTAATCCATCAAGGGTGATGAGACTTCCCAGATCAATAAAGTGGTCAGAACACTAAACGGTAGGGCACTCCCCATTGTTTGTTCACGTGTTGATGCAGATGACTACTCAAGCAGTATTTTGCATTGACAGTAAGAGAAACGTAACCGAAATATACTAACATTGTTGCTCATAGAGAGTAAAGGATTCTACTTTTTTTTCAGGGTCTCCACCAAGTGGAACTATATCATCTGCATATTCGACGTCGATTAGTGAACTTCATGGTAGGAGATTGACTGTGAAAATTTAGACTAAGAGATAATTTTCCTAGGGGGTAATCCACGATAAAACGAATAAAAATGGGAACGGGCATCCCTGATAAACAACACTTCATGTTGACAATGAATAAACAGATTTCATTAGTTGAATCAACGTATGAAAAGATTTTATAGTGATAAGTTATCACAAACAGAGACTGCTAGATTTATTTTGAAGATTTACTGGTCTTAATCGACCAGTATCAATACGGGTCCCTAGAGAACTATCAGAGTTTATTAAAACACATAACTTATTAAATGTTGAATAATGATAGATACACTTGTGTTACAAACACCGCTACTAACTATGGATAAGTCTACCATAAAGTTATCAACAATAATCAAGGCATTCCACAAGATATGAGGTCAGTTAAGCAACAAATCGTAGTCGTTAAAATGTGATTCGAGTGTATTTAAAGTTCATATTAATTGTTAAAGCTAACTGTATGCTTCGTACATTCAAAGCTGTATTCACACAGTAATTTCACATATGGTAAGATCACATAAGCATGAAATAATGACAGTGATTATCATCAAACTATACCTTGAATATTTAATACTCTGTTTAACTCGGAATGTGTATAAGCCAACAGACTAACTATTATATTATCACGAATCTAAATATATAAAGAAAATGAAATATATGAATAATGGGTGTTAATAAACGTTCATTATTCTTAAAAATAAATAATACAATTTTATATTATAAGTGATGAAACAATATAAACTATTTTTTTAGAACTTCAGAAGCTGCATCCACCGACTACATTAGGAAACAATTGGGTTTTTTACTCCTGCATTTTAACTTTAGATAACTTTCCTCATGATATTCTGTTTTCAATGCATATTTTTATACGTAATGCTTCATTGTGAAACATACTAATAAGAAAGTGAAGACAATAGTTACATTAATCCATGTTAATAAATAAAGTCTGGATCACAATTTTGGCAATTCATTGACTACTTTCTTTCAATAGAAATTTTTATGAGTTATAATAACCCATTTTGTCACAAAACTCTCTTTTCCTGGCCTCGTATTTAAATATATACACTAACAATGAGCAATAATATTTAAGAACATTAGTGTACAAAAAATTCCAATGAATCACCAAAGTGAAAGTTCAATGGTCAAAATATTTCAGCGCTCATTCAAACCACACACATCGGAGCAAACGGGTACTATCAATTAGTTTCCATGGAAAGATTGTGAATGATAGATTAGTACAGATACCCACCTATAAAACCTAATATACAGATTATACCACCTTGAAGTTTACAAACATTATAATAAACTTTCAAATTATATAAAAATGTGGATATTTACCCTTTCAAGTTGAGCAGCTTTAGGACCAGGTGAACAATAGGTAAAAACTGTACAAGCATATGCATGAAATAATGGATTTAAAATTCTAGTATCTTGGAAATTAACACCTTGAACCGCTATGACAGTGCGCAAAACAGCGGAAACAATTTGTGTTAAAGAATCAAACATGGAGAATATTATACTAATATTCGAATTACAAGTACTTATATCCATTAAATCAGTTGTACAATTGGCTTGAGATAATGTAGCTTGAAGTTGAAGTATGAAAAAATCTGATAATTTCTAAATAAAACAAGAAAAAACATATTGCGGTGAAATATGTGTAACAGTGAGTATAAACGTTAATAACTTAACAAACAATTAATAGTCATCGAAGACAGTGAATGAGGTCCCGAAACATCATGGATTGATTGAAGTTAGACATTAACATTGTTGGATACCAGCTTAGTTGTCCCCATGTTAGGGCGTTCGCGCGCGAGACCAAAAATCCTGGGTTCGATTTCCGCTTGTAGAGCCGCGGATGCGTATTGTTGCTGATTTTTATATTAGAACAAAACAGTCATCTATTGCTTCTCGGTTTCCCATAGTGGTCCAAAATCGATCCAATCATGATTTCAAAGAAACAACTAATAATTGCTAAATGATATAAAAAGTACTACTGTGACATATTAACCTGGAAAGATGAGTTGTCATCGGATTTTGAGCAGAAATAAGGAAATTGTTTTACAGTGCATACAACTGGTATTATTATTTCAGTACGCTGAAATTTTCTAGTATGCAGTTCAAACTATATTCGCAGTCATAATTTTGAAATGATTAGTAGATTAACAAGCACCGAATTAAGTGTGGGATATGCTATCAACATATTACACTTTCAGTAATCGTACTTTATTGTGAGGCGTACTACTCACAATGTGGCTTATAACTAGTATGGAGCGGAGTGTCACCCAGAAGTTACTGATGAAGAGATGGTCGGATCCGAGTGTATGGCGAGATCAAAGTGTTTAGAAGACTTGAAGACTTATTGAAAGAAGACGGCCAAGAATCTGCTTGTGTTGCAAATGAAGTCTGTAAACAATATATACCCAATTTGCCAGTAAACTGTGTCTTCTTTAAACACAAGTCTATGCCAGGTAAATGAGTTTACCAAGAAAAACGCTCTAGCTGGTAAACTCAGAGATATTAAAATTAAATAAAACCATTTACGAAGCGATAAGTTCAGTATACTCAATAAATATAAATAAAGGAAATCAAAAAATATCAGGAACCAATAATATCAAAGTAAATATAATTTACTTCAATAATATTTCTTTGTGTATACCGGAACTCGAACTAATCAATTAAAGAGTAAAAAACTCCGACAAATGTAAATGCTTTCAAAATATTTTGATTGTTAACTATTTTCTTGATTTTGTTAATATTATCGGAGCGAGCTAACTACTATTATCTAATAATCACGCCAATCATGTTCGTTATACTTGTCACGATTCTAGATTAAATTCAACTAATTGTCCTTAGACAGTTAGTTATCCTTTGTTCGAGTAATAATAAGAAGATAGATGAATAGAAACTGTCGGAAATTTATGAACTCACTTGAATTAATGTAATGAAAGTATTCAATCCATTCATACTGAAGATTTCAATTAACACTTGAGTACGAGATAGAATAATTTGTTGTTCTGAATAAGAACTATCTGATAAACGATTAAAGATGGATGAATCATTCAAGCCAAGTAAGCTTGTACGCAGTAAACGTAATATTAACAATATACCAGGTGGTATAAATCGACCAGCTGCAAGCTGAGAAGTTGGTTGTCGACGGTTAGTATGAGCAATTTGTGATGAAGAAACAGTATTAGGAGCTGCAAGAAGATCATCAACAACTTCAAGACCTAAAATTGAGTCTAATGCATCATTAAATTCACCAGTCATTGTTTGCAATTGTTTAATTAACCATGAACAAGATTCCGGTGAAAGTAGCGAATCTGGTGGTATATTCAAGATACCAGTTACATGAGAACGAGATGGTCCATCACGAAGCCAATGTATATAACTACCAACTGTTCGTGTAAATGAAGTCATTTGAGCTAATACATCAATGGGTGCAATATCTTGTATACTTTCAACTTGCTGAGAAGCTAAAAAAAAAAGAAAAAAGAGCACATTTTTTACCACTACTGATTTTGTTACTACTAATCTCATAAAAACTACAAGGTCAAGGCTTATAACGTGAAATTGAATAATTTTTTTAAAGGAGCCAATATAGGTCTACAGCTATTATTATTATTATTATTATTATTATTATTATTATTATTATTATTATTATTATATCCACCGAAACTAGGCAGTTAAGAAGTAAGCCAACGGACTGATTGCGAAATCCGATTAAAAACACTGGTATGATAATAATAAGTAAGGATGGAAATGGCTGGGGAAAGCGTAGTTCAAATGGTAAACAAGTAAAAATTAGTAAGTAGAGTAATGTGAGAAATATTACACAGATGTACAAAAACTCCACTTAAATATGCTTCCTTATAGAGTCTTAATAGACTTCAATTAGAAAAATAAGGATTGAATACTAAGAGATGATTTTGCAGACTAGCGATTCAAGATTTCAAAATCTGAAGTTAACTGTGACCTAGATTTTATTTAGACTCAACTTCCTGTAATACATGATATCGTGAACAACATAACAAGTGCAACTATTCACATTCTTGTTTACTAGATTTCGGGAGTTACATTTATTGTGGATGGTGAAACATACTACTTCAACTTCGATAAATGAAAAGCTATTTGAACCTAAATGTGGAGTAATACCTCGACTCCTTTTTAAACAAATAAAAGCTCCATATTTTCAATGTGAGAACGTGAAACTTAGAAAACCTACGGTCCAATGCAACTCGATACATACAACGATATAACATGAGATACCTATTGGTTAAATTTCAAAAAAAAGTTACACAAGTATCGATATGAAAATCAACACAAAGACACACAACTATTTAGGAAAATAGCTTACGGGAAATCAATTGTGCTAGACGAGGTCCATAACGATCTAAGTAGAGCACATTTTCACTATGACGTAACAAAGTGATAACCAATGTATTCACCAAACTATTCAACTGTATCGGTCCAGAGACCAGACTGCGAATTGTTGCTTTTGAGCTTAATACATTTGTTGCTTCAATTTGATCGTTTGTTGGTGACTGTTCTGTATTCGACTGGTCTGGCAACACAGGATAAAACATAGCAATAAGAAATTTGGGTAGAAATCAGTATTAAATCAGACTTATAAATCAAGCCACTAATGAAAAAAACCATTAAAACTGGTTACGTAAAACAAGAAACATTAATTCATCAAATAGATCTCGGCGAATTCATTTTCAAAGCAGTACAATCGCAGATACGCACTAATTTTTCGAAATGAGAATCATGACAACATATAATATATATAATACAAATATAAATTTCGCTAAACATGGTAAATTAAGTAAAGGCATAGAAACGTTATTTTTATCAAGGGAACTAATAATAATGTTGTTGTTGAGAGCCATGAAAACGGAAGCTAGGTGCCCTTGGTTACCTACAAGTTAACTCGTAGATAATTTTGAACGCAGAGTCCGACTTGATAAAATGACTTTTGTTCATAAGGTGATCGATTATAGAACTTCTTATTGAGTCACTCTCATCTCTTTTCAGCCAAGTCGGATAAAAGTTTGTTCAATTTTCTTGGATAAAATACACATTGAATGGCTCACATACCTGAATCCATAGCCAGTGGATCTTGTGTGCTGTTAGGAGTACGACGGCGGATGTCACTTCCCGGCTACCAACACCGTGGAAGGGTGTTTCTTGAAGAACCTGAAGAAGTTGAGTTAGCGTTGGTCTTAGAGACCTGAGAGCGTGACCGCAGGACCTAAGGGACAACTGATGAGGCCTGTCACACACGGCTTGTTTATGAGATGTTTCGGAAGTGTTAGCTCCGCTCTTGTTTAAAAGGCCTTACCATCGGAGACGGAAATCCATGAGGTAAGCTAGGGTGTGACATTCTTAGGGTCGACCTTTTCTAACCCCCTCCTTCCTTGTGAGAAGGCAGCATCGCTGCAGATGCTGGTTTTCCCAGGAAAACACCGTACTTCTGTCACACCCTTATACGACTTCGCCGTAAGGCTTTGAGTTTGTGCTTTTAATCTTGCCGTTCTCAAATCGACCTGCCTGGCGTAGTAGGACCTAAAGGAAAATATATTCCAGCCAATATAGTTCATTTGGGTCATCATGATAAGCAAGGCCGATCACTCCGTCAAGGTAGTAACTACGGTAGGAACCCAAGTTCACAAAAACGAGTAAACTGATAAAAGCACATGAAATGGATAAAATAAAATAATTTTTCCCCTACAGTTGTTATTGAATATTGGTCGGCCGAAGAACACTAATAGCAAAGTTGTTGAAAAGGACGTTCAATTGAGCGAGCCAGAAATTCTTAAATTCCATAATCAAAATAATTTTTCTATGCCTTTGTTTATTTTATCCCACCATTACGATGTCTAACAAACAAATTTTATCAATAATAAAAACAATACATTTGTAGTATTCCAATGAGTAGAAAAGTTAAGATTTCTATATTCCCTGAGGAAGTGACTTATACTGAGGCGAAAAAAACCTTTCTACTCATCAAAATCCTATAAATATATTATTTTATTCTGAACAATCAATCAATCCAATGTTCAATTTATTTGGAATTGTTTAGTCAAAACTTGGCAATGAGATCTATAAATTTATTATTAATATTATTGTCATCAATATCATTATAAAAATAAGCTTACGAATGCGATCGAACAGCCTTAAAAATAAATCTGTTGCAAAAGAGAACTATCGTTTAACCAATATATTTTATTTTACCACATTTACCTAAAAATTAGTTACAGATAACTAATACTAAGATGAAAGAGAATACAAACAGACAACAAACAGAGTTAACTCTGCAACACTGCTTACCCTCAGCATGATATGTCATGTTAATTAATATAAAGCAATTGTAAAACCATTAAAAGTTATTTAGAGAATGACATTTTGATTAATAAGGAATAATGTTAAAAATGACTGGCATTGAAATATAAAATCTCTTGAATATTAAATTAGTTATTAAGTGTAATTGAAAATGAAAACACTAACTGTATACATCATTATAATCTATAATATGCAGACATGATTGAGTCTTGATATTTGAGTTTACTCAAATTAATCGAAAAGAATCAAAATTGAAGAATATTGTAATATTTGACTGTGAAACATTATAATGTGAGGTAGAATTAGGCACATAAATGCATCCGTTTAAGTTTTCATACTACATTAGTAAAAATAAGATCAAATTAGCAACACAAATGTTCAGAGTAGTAGTAGTAGGAAGAGGAGGAGGAGGAGTAATAATAAGAGGATCAGTGGGTAGTAGAAAACACTGGATATATGTAATATGATTTGATAAGAAACAATAAATATAAGAAATACAAAAGCATAAGATAATTTCAGATCTCCAAATTTAGAGGAATAGATATTATGGCCGACTGTGAGCTGTTACTTATAGCCTCCAATCTTTGGTTATATAATAGTCGACGGAACAAGAACCTAGCAGTCTGCACTCATTAATACTGCTAATTCAGGATACTAAAATATTAGGCACAAGAACTATTAATCAACTTTTAAATTAAAGTATATGATGTATGTTTAAGATGTATGGAAATTATGTTAAATGCCTAGCAGACTGATCAAAAGGAACTTAGATAAAAACAAACTGAACAATATGTAGTGAATTTAACAAGTCAAATATAGCCGTTTGAGAAATCATAAAATTTAATATACTTAATACTTTATACAGAACATAAAATAACTTACTATTAGTATTTATATCATCGCTTGAACTTTTCGATTTGTCATTTTTTGTCACTGATTTATTAACTGTACTATTTCCTCCACATTTTACATCTAAATCTTGTTCAGAAAAAGCTTCAATTAACATTAATAATGAAGCGAAATAATCATCCATAGCAATCACATCAGCAATCCATATAGGCGCTGCAGTTGTAAGAGTTGCAAGTACATATTCTTTTATATTTTCTACATTAAACAATTGATTATCATCCATGGAACCACCATTGATTGAATCCATATCCATGAAATTAGAAAACTGTCCAATAGAATTCAGTGTTAACCTAGTTAATCCGAATAAAGCATCGCGAATATTGATTTCATTGGCTCGTAGATCAGCAGTAATATTAATGTCTGATTGAAGTTGTGTAATAAAGGAATAAACACCTGTCATACCTCAAGAAAAAATTGTATTTGATAATAAAATTTATACTAATATGATGGAAATAAAAAGACTTTATGTACTAATATGATTTCAAAAGATTAGGATTGACATAAATTGGTCTGATATACAATCAGTGGGATTCGATGCTTTGATGATATTTACACATATACATGCATGTGAACTATTCCAGTTCAAAGACTCAATTTTACTTGGTGCAATAATAAAACAAAGTTTTACCATTCGTAGTCATAAGGGCACTAATTCAGATTGTAGACAAAATTATACATGTAAATAATAGTGACAATCCTTTCAAAGTGATGCAAATAATGTTTTTCTTCAAATAACGATACTAGTCAACTATGAGGACTACCAATATATTCTTAGTCTCAGTCAAAACCAATCAACCATAGAGAACGAATTGGTCCAAATCGACTTGACCAAGCCGATAGGAAAAAGGAAATCAGCAAAATAAGAGGCAAAGAATAGAAAGTAATAATTTAATTTATGGTAGACATATAAATATTAGGTATACATTTCAAGAGAAATAAGTGAGATCAAAGGATACGAACCACTGAGAGATAAATTTAGGCTGCAGATTTAGGGAAAGATGAGGAGTGCATACAACTGTACCATTATGATTTTTCGAGCAATGTTACATAGTATCTAGTACTGCATATTATGATTAACTCTCAGATATTAACATGTAGCTCTGTATAAATTAACAAGATACAATGGGAAATTTGATGAATTCACCATTTTAACACCTCTAGCTTTCTTTTAATCGATTCACACACTAACAACAGCTATTGAGTGTAAACAATGGAAGATTAAACTTCAAGTTATAACTAGATAATCTTGATAGATGTAGTGAAAAGTACATTTATTGAGAAATCTTGTAAAGAAGTAAAATAGACACTGATAAAAATATAAATAAAAACCAAACTAAGTGGATCGATGATGATCAGTGAGATCGGAGATAATGAAATATCTATAGTAAGTAGAAATATTTATGAATTTACAATAAATATAAATTTATGATGATACAACAAACAAATGATCAGTTTGACAAGGATTACTTGTATCACTTTAGAAGTGAAACAATGCTGATCAACTTGGTAATATCATAGCACCAACCTATAATGATTTTTTTTCATCTTGGTCCCTCTATAGGTATTATAATAGAAAATGCAAAATGCTAAAAACAATAGTTCAATGTAACTTAGTTTAACACTATTCTGATATAAAAAATGAAATGATCGTATGTTGCACCTTTTCGATACTTCGGATATAGAAATCAATTTCACTGTAGGTCGATAAGAACCGAAAGAAGTGCATTTACATCTTTTTTTGGGTGCATTAAAATACACAGAAACTGAAAGTGAAAACCATAAAAATGTGATATTAAGTGGCTAAGTGAGAGCAATGAGAGAGGGAGAAAGGACTCGTCCGCACTCAGCCGCACTAGCCGTGAAAAATATTTACATATTGAAATAAAGAAAACGCCATTTCATTCAAGTTATAATATCGATCAATATAGGACCAAAGCATAGATAGTTAGCTTTATTCGGCGGCAGCAGCCGTTAATCGAAGTGACCCGAATTCGTAATGATAATACGCAACTTTCGGCTATATGTCATCGCTTTCAGTAAGGTGTGTGGAAAGACAACCAAACAAAAACCAATGATGAAACTCTACAACCGATCACAACATTTCGTAATGTAACTTAATCTAGACACATTTTGCTGAAAAGACTAAAATGATGATATCACCCAAACCAGTAAACCGAAATGTACTTGAGCTACGGTTTGAGTCCATAACCTGAAAGTTTATAAATCCTCCATCGCTCAACACAAACAACAGTACGACTGAAATTGAAACTACATAGATCTAAATACACTTACTTAATACAAGTATTTAAGTAGTTATGATAAATTTAACATAAACAAACCTTTCTTTCTTGTCCAATCAATCAGTAAATCTATATATCGTAGAGCCTCAATTTTGTAGATTAGCTCCAAACCGAATATGAAAGAATTTGATGCAAGTGTTTTACTACTACTCATAGCATCATTTAACATGATGTTGGAGAAAGTTTGTAAACATGCTTTAATTAGTAGACTAGTTGATTCTGGACGAAAAGCTAAAAGTAACAGGCCAGAAGAATGACAACATAAAGTGCATAATAATTCATGGATTGATGCTTGAATTTGATTGAATAAAAATGAAAGGTTCATTTCATACTGATTATCTGATTCATTTTCTTGCAAGATATTTTCATGTATATTGGTGAGCTGATTCATCAAGTTAGTCAAAGAACTAATCAGATCACTAAAAGAATAAAAACGAGGATATATGAAAACTCAAAGGAAACTGTGAACAAAAATATACTGTTCACCCTAATATGCATTTTCGAAACTGAATGCAAACGACTCGTAATCAAAATATCTTTTATTCCCCTAGCGAATGAGAAGACTGTGGCTCCAGTGAACGATGATACTGTGAGAAATGTGCAGGTATTTGTAGAGAATTTGAAATATTCTCGAGAATCACAAACTAAGAATGAGTTTCCGTAATGTTGAATTTAAATTAAAAAATAGATAGCTGTAAAGGATATGCACACTAATAGCAGGCAATAACCGTTAGTCAAACTGACCTCCTAAGTATCACTGGAATAAGTATTCAATAGTTCTAGAAAACAATTAGTTGAGCGTGTAGATCGCTTCACTTATCTATGGAGTCTCATCAGTGCTGATGGCCTGGTGACTGACGAAATCTCAGCGCGGATACAGAAAGCTCGATTGGCTTTTGCCAACCTGCATCACTTATCGCGTAGGCGTGATATCCGTTTGCTGACTAAAGGACGAGTGTACTGCGCAGTGGTTCGCTCCAACTGCCTCGAAGAGCTTTGTTTTGTAGTGTAGGAGTAGGTTGAAAGAAAGCTAGGGGCGGCCAAACCAAAACATGGCACAAACCCATGAAGTCATTGACGAGTGGACTTAGCCTTGTCGGTAATTGTCGACTACCTGGTTGGGGTCCGCGAGATGATAATAATCGATGGTTAGATACCCTGAATGACATGGCTCAAAACCGTTTACAATGGCACCGGTGCATTTATTCTTTGTGTTCTCTCAAATCATAATCTTCTTGATTCTTCAACACCTCTAGTTTTGACTTTCTAAACTTTTCTCACTGAATCGTATTTCATGAATAATATCTTCTAATCTTAACCTCTCCGATTACTTCTAATACCTTTACTACCTCTTCTACTATCGGATTTGAATTGACAATTATATCTGTGCTGATGTGGTATGGCAACATGAACTGATGTACTTACGCACGAAGTTCTACGTTGCATCTGACTAACTGAGGTTACCAGATGCAAAACTGGTCATTCAGGTATCATGGCAGCAATTTAATTCCTTACTCAAGCATATGTGCTTAACATCGCAATCAAAATTTGTTTACGTTCAGTGTCGTGATTGGAAACTCTTCATAACTTAGAAATGTGTAGTAATAAGACTGAGATCAATGTTTACTGAATTTCAAGACTAACAAAAAGTGAACTAAGTTTTTATGTAAGCTTATAAGATAGACAATACAAAATATCCAATCTGGAGTAAATGTATATTGAGTCATTTTTTCACAGTCAGTCAGTCAGTCAGTTGCAACTTCGTACGTATGTACATCAGTTCAGGTTGTAACACCACATTAGCACAAAGACGCAGATGTAAAATCAAACCCCATAGTGATAAAGATAGAAGAGGTAATAATGGTAATGAAGAAGACTAGGGTTCGAAGATATTATTCAAGAAGTATAATTCAGTGAGATAAGGTTAGAAAGACAAAGGTAGAGGTGCTGACGAATCCAGAAGATTAGGATTTGAGAGAGCACAACGAATGGATACACTTGCGCCATTGCAAACGATTTTGCATTTCGAGGGTGAGAACCACATCCCGAACATGCTCGCATTGTTGCTTATGGTAGTCAGAAGACTCTGCATTTTGTTAGTGTCTTCACCGAATAGAACTATGTCATCGGTATATTCTAGATCAGTAAGCGACTTTCCTGGTAGAAGGTCAACCCCTGAAAAATCTGACAAGCTTAATGTTAACTCTAAGAGGATGTCTACGACAAAGTTAAACAAGAATGGATAGAGTGGACAGTCCTGACGGACACCACTTGATGTAGAAAATTCAGATGACAGTTCGCCATATGCTCTCAACCGACCAGTGGTGTTCGAGCAGAGAGCTTGTATAAGGTTAATGTACTTCTTTGGTACACCTTTCAATGACCATTTTTTTCACAATTATTAATTATTATTATCGTTATTACACCAATAATTTTTTATAAATCAAGGAAAAAACGAAAAGCGCTCTTACCAAGAGTCTAGCATCGCACATAAATCTGCATACGGGTTGTAACAGATACATTTATTACCATTTAATAACAGTGGACAAGGGAGAGAAGATCTCGGATTCGCCTACAATCAGAATCATAACATATAAACGGATAAAATGATAATGTACTAATATGACTTCATTATATTAACATAGCTTAACGTAAGTCACATTAAAAAAATCTGTATATATTTATATATATATGAGAAATCATACTCAATTTGTATCTATTTCAGTCAAAAAATCTAAGTAAATCGACTACTTTATTTGTTGGTCAATCACGAGCAAACGTAATCCCCGAATAAATTTAATTCAGTTCAATCTACAACACTACAAAACATCACAAGAAACTAGTGGGATAAGAAGTAAAGTAAGTTGATGGTAAGAACAATAAGATCAGAGGAAAACTTAACATAAGAAGTATGGTTTAAAAGAAGCAAATGAAATAAACAATGAGTCAGTCAGTTAGTCACACGCAATGCAGAATCTAGGATATGTGTACACCAATTCAAGTTGTCATACCCCATTGGTACAGGGTGATGAAATTATCAGGTTAAAGCGCAGAGTAATAGAGGTTCTAACAGTATAAATGTTAATAGAAGAAATTAAAGCATCGAACATAGAAATCAAAAAGAAAAACATAAGTTAGTGGAATCGAAAAATATACAAGGCATCTAAAAACTTATAATCTAAGCGAAGACAAATAATGAATACACCTGAGCCCCTGCGAATGACTATGAGCTAGGTCATCCCAAGTCTTTAACCACTGCTTGCAACAATAACGTAGACCCCAGTTAGAAAGATGAAGCACCAGTGAAGTTCGGGATATAGAGGGAAATAACAAATGAATGCACTTGAGTACGTACCACTAAAACCGACTTTGAACCATTTCACCCAAAAATTTAATTCTCAGAACATTCAAGTTTATTTACATGTTAGGCACATAAGACTTCAAAAACTATCCGGCAGATCCTGTACCAACAGACAACCATCAAACATCTAATTAGGAGAGTTCCTTGAGGACAAAACTTACCTTTCTTATCATCTCTATTCAAAGTAATGAATTTACATTTGTTTATATTGAGATGTTAAGAGCATCTCGAAGATAAAACCTTGCATTACACAAAGAAAATGCTTTCAAACTACTGACCGTAGTAACACAACATTAACAGAGAGAGATAATGAAATGGATAAATTCTTACAAACATTCAATTAGTCGTAAGACTAAAAGGTTAACCAATGCAATAGTTCTTTTGTTAGTCGTAAGCTTATTCTCTATTCATTGATAGTATAAACAATATGTTCAAACATGTTGAAATGACTGTCATTCTCCAACCTATGCTTCTTTAAATATGTCACTTGAACTAATTCTTTACGAAATATAGGACTACATATACACAACTATTTATTACAGGGAATCGAAGGTTTTCTGATAATTATTCAAAATCATATGTCTATCCTATTTGAAATGATGGGATCTTCTTTTCACTTACGAGCCACAAATTATCGATTCTTGCAATTCTTAAAATTATTACAGTAGACAAATGACAGAAATGATTAAGTCTGTCAATTGAAGAATTAATTTATAATAAATGAAAACAAAAATAACCAAGAATAAAATAAGTACGTGAGACAGTGAAAACTGAAGATAAGCTGGTATCGAAGAACGTATAGATGAAGACAAAATCATAAAACTACTGTTACTATCGATGAAAAGAATGTTGAAAATCGTAAATCGTATATTCCAATAGATCCCATCTAATTAATGATAAAGCTATTGATACAGTTAAAATAGATGGAATCTATCAGTAAAGAGACTTGATTCTTAACCAACTAGAATAGAAATTTGAATAAACTTGGATTGCTACCTAGTCTTATCATCCGTCATGCACAACAGATCCGAATTATAGTTTAGAACATGTACCTGGTCATTTGATCTACATTAAGTATTTTAGCAAGGTATCAAAGTTTATGACTTGTCTAAGATGTGCATACAACCAAAATTTAAAATTATAATCTTATAGGTTCATCTTGTGTCAAATCAACAAAACATCACTTTGTACCATGCTTATTAGATATAGCAATAACAGACAGATTGTGATAAAAAGCCAATACAATAATAACTAACTTACTATAATTTGTTCAGCATTTTGAAAAATATGTTTCAGTTTTCTTAAATGGTTGACTAACATTTGTTGTGATTCCAAAATTTCTAGTAAACTATCATTGTCTCCTGATAGTTGTTGTTCAGTGATTTTCTGAAAACTGAAAACAATAAAAATATACTCAGAGTGAGAGGATATTTCTGAAAACAAACAAAAAATAATCAAAAGTTATTTGAAAGGTGATTAAATATGAGATATGAACATTTTAAAAATATGCATCAAGTAATATGAGCAGGACCTAACTATTAGGTTTATCTATTGCCCATTATATTGGAGTATAGACCAGAAATGACGTTTCGTGAACTCAAATTGTTTGCATTAGCTGTGCAGTATGATAAAGGAATGTGAGAAGAGTTAGTAGTGGAGATAAGAGAGGTACTAGGGGGTGTAGGAAGGAATTGATTTCGTGTGTGCTGTTAAGGGTATGAGGGCGGTTGTCACCTCCCGGCTGCCCACACAGTGGAAGGTTGTTTCTAGAGGAACCTGAAAAGGAAGGTATATTAGCGTTGGTCTTAGAGACCTGGGTGCGTGACCGCAGAGCCCAACGCACAACTGCTTCAGGCCGGTTACGTACGGACCTCTCATGAAAGGTTCTTTGAGTGTTAGCTCCGCTCTTAAAGGCCCTTAGTGGGCACCCTTACCGCCGGAAACGGAAATCCATGAGGTAGGGTGAGGTGTGACATTCTTAGAGTCGACCTTTTCTAACCCCCACCTTCCTTGTGAGAAGGCAGCATCGTTGCAGATGCTAGTTTTCCGAGGGAAACACCTTACTGCTGTCACACCCCTTTGCAGTTAGCAGTACGACTTCGCCCTCAGACCTTGGGTAGCTGCTTTTAGTCTCGTCGTTCTCCAGTCGACCTGCTTGGCATGGTAGAACCTTCATGGACGTATATTCCAGCCAGTATAGCTCGGCTGAGTCATCACGATAGTCAAGCCCGACCACCACGTCAAGGTAGAAGCTACGGTCGGGTATATTGGAGTATAGTTGATAAAAGTAGAAAATTAAATTCTAAACTAGTAGTCAGACTTAAGGGTTATGATCTCCATTCCGCTTGGAGTAGTAAGAACACACCACAGGAAAATTTAAAGCTAGCATAGAACAAATTCTAAATTCTCTCTGCTTTCAAATGATTTTGTAGTGTTTTTTCTAAGATCACCATCAAAATTATCTTACATTAGAAAAATTTGCAGAATATAACTGATTGAGTAATCTCTCTAAATGAATTCACTATAGCATAACATGAGTTAGCATTATAGTATTTAATTTTAATTAGTTTTAACTGATATAGAAATAGTTTCATCATATTACAGATTTGTGTATACAGAAAACACTGAAAAACTCACCGATCTATTAATTTTGGAAACTCCAATAAGAGTTCATAAGTATGTACTTTATTTAATAGTCTTTCATATGCTGCAGTTACACGAGAGTTCTAAAGTAGGAAAATTAACATATCACGATATGAAAATAGAATTTATAGAGAAAAACAAGTTGTTAAAACTGAATGTGAAGATGCAAAGTGATGTGATTTAGAAATATTAAGTACAATTTGTAGATAATAACCACTTGAAAAGATTTAATACTGAAACGTATCAGTCACACTTTATATGTGAGGGTAATGATACATGCCGAAACAGAAGTAGGTAGAGGGACTCAAACCTGCGATCTAATGGTTGAAGGTTAGACATCTTAGCTGCCAAGCGACTAATCTAGGTAAACATATTAACCTCATTTACATATAGATATTAATATGAGTGCATTAGAGTAGATGGGTAATACATTTGAATAAGATATAAAGTGAATCACTCATAACAATTAAGATTATGTCTCAACCATTAGCTTAGAAATCATCGATCATATAATCCTATCATAATAATAAATTGAAGTAAATATAAATATATTTGCCTTACTTTACTAAAGCTAACGATAAAAATAAAACGTTGATAAGGTGATTGAATTTTATTAGATGTTAAATGATTTTCAATCATTTGCATATCATCACTGTTGTTAATGATATGTTGCTTTTTAATAGACTCATCCCATTTTATTTGACTATTACACTGTTCATTATCTTCATCATTAGTTTTGATTGTGTAAGAACGGTCGAATTCATCAGAATTTGCATTGTCTTTAAGAGATTCAAAATCGGAACTGTTTAAGTTATCTTTAATATCTTTCTTTTGATCAAGATTTATTTGTGTTATCCCCAAAAAAGCATTTAACCCAATAGGTAATCGTGTAGTCTGATCCAAAGCACGACAAATAATAAGTCTTAACGGTGTTGTAATTAAGGGAGACTCCAAAAGGTTTAAGAGTAAATGTTGAACCTGAAATTACAAAAGGAAATCAAATAGGTCAGTGAATCAACAAATAAAACAACAACAACAGCAACAAACAAATATCTATTGAATATTTTTAGTAGTTACCGACTCAACAGTACGTTAAATACTTACAACATCAACTAAAATCACAATGCAGAACATTGTTATGTCTTGATAGTTATTTCGTTAATTCGTCAACAGTTACATACTACATATTCTTATTTTCACAACAAAAGTATACTAAATCTAAAACTGAATACTTTACTAGAAATACAAACAATAAAAATTATAGAGTTCGAGATTTAAACAAACAATTGGAATTAGTTATATGATGAAATAATAAGAAAGAAATCTATCAGTGGATAAGTACTTGATTAAAAATACAGGGACTATGAAGAAAGATTGAAGAACGAATAATCAAGCGAAAAGAACATGTCAGTCAGTCAGTCACAACGTAGAACTTCGTACATAAGTACATCAGTTCATGTTGCCATACCACATCAGCACAGAGATGCGATTGTCAATTCAAATCCAATAGTAGAAGAGGTAGTAAAAGTATTAGAAGTAATCAAAGAGGTTGGTTGAGATTAAAAGATATTATTCAAGAAGTATGATTCAGTGAGATCAGTTTAGAAAGTCAAAACTAGAGGTGTTGAAGAATCAAGAAGATCAGGATTTGAGAGAACACAAAGAATAAATGCACCGGCGCCATTGCGAACGATTCTGAGCCATGTCATTCAAGGTCTCTAACCATCGGTGACTATCATCTCGCGGACCCCAACCAGGTAGTCGACAATTACCGACAAGGCTAAGTCCACTCGTCAATGACTTCATGGATTTGTGCCATGTTTTGGTCTGGCCGCCCCTAACGAACATGAGATGACTGTTTGTTGAGATGACAATTCCAGTTTACTCAGAATCGGAAAAATATAACTTTTCTAGCTATTTGTTTGCATTACTAAGGTTTTCTGATAAAGATTAGCAGATGCCGCTAATAACAATGATATTTCAGTTCTCATTCACCTCGTAAACTTACTGATTACATCGACTAAGGAAACTTACAAATGCTTTTCTTCCCTATTGGTATATCACAATCAAATATGTATGAAGTGGGAAAGGGGACAATTAAACACAATAACATATTCGTGTTCATGTTAAAATTACTAACTTGTAAATTTTCTATCTGTGCAAAATCCACATCACTACCGCTTTCTGCAGAAACTGGATAGAGTAATGCATTTGCTATTTCTGAATTAATCGTACCAGTTACAAGACCAGCTAGATTTACACCAGCCATAATATGTTTGACTATGTATGATGCATTCGGTTGACCTAAGGCCAAGTTCATATTTAGACCTGTATAAACCCATAATTGAAGTGTTTCAATGACACCTAGTAGAGAAGATCAATAAAGAAAAGATATATGCAAACTTATACAGAACATAATTATAATAAACAGTGATCTCGATAAAAGTTTTCTTTTTTTAAGCTAACAGAGCCAGGAAACATTTTACTCTTCATAAAAAATAGGAATTGTTTAACTGGACAATAGTCGACAACAAGGTTGGTTTAATAGTCGACTGAATTACTCTGAAGTTCAGTCTGTGTTAAAGAGTTTGATTTTATCCTGATAAGGATTTACTGTTACCATTCTTCAATCCCTGATCGTTAAGTAATGCTTTGTGTTATTTCGTATCATACAATTCAAGCACAAGAATAACTACGGCATGACGTTTTTAAGGCTTAGAAAACAGTACATCGATTTGACCTGAAATACAGCCAAGTCATTTTGTAAGTTAGTGAATAGCAGTAGTGGCGATTGAGACTAATAGGAAGATAAAATAAGAATTTTTAAATAAGATTTTATAATCATCAAATTATTCAATCAAAATAAAGCATACTTTGATACAGATTGCGATCTGTGCAGTAAAGAAAGGCTAAACTTTGAGCCAAATGCGTACCAATAGTATCCAACGAATCAACCCATCTAAAATAAAGCAATTACCAATGTAATATTTGTTTTCACTACGTATCATAAAAGATATTACTTTAATCTAGTCTAATAAACATTTGTATGCATGACTGACAGTTAACAAAAGTAACTCAATAACCATAAAGTACAGTTTCTTGTACCTGGCTTGAAACAAAACTGGATAATAGAATGATGCTAACAGGTTACAGGAAGAAAAGTAGGTGGGAATGGATTCAAACTTTCCGCTTAATGGGCGAAAGCTAAGAGCTCTAACCGGTTAAGTCGCCGTTACCACCAATGATTAAGAACCTAAAAGTTTTCACTGGTTTTGCGCTGTTGATCAAACGCGAATGAACAACAAACTATACAACATACAGTATGTTTACATTATAAATGTCCTGAAAACGTCGACATACAACAATGCTAACACAGCATTTGTGATTAAAAACGAAAACATCCGTTTTTGTTTGTTAATGGATATTACTTTCATTTGAGGAAGATAAAGAGGAGCGAAAATTTCGAAACTACCACATTTAATTTGATTACTGAAGTTGGAATTGCAACTTGGTTCAACAAAATAGCAAAGTACAAACTATCGATATTCTTGTCAGACAGGCAAAAAACTGTCTGGAAGTCCTATTTACTCCCCAACAGTGAGTATTATTGATGTTTAAACACATAATTATTCGGACAAAGGCGCACGTAAATATTTATGCTTCACATGAATCAATGAATTTGTATATGGGCTGGTATACTGCTTGAGAATCCGAAATGAGTGAGAGCCAATTTCGATGCATGACAAAATATAGCTAAGAGATGATTCTGTTACATTAGCTGATCACAACTGTTTGCCTTCTTTAGCCATCCAGACATACACCTACCTCAAACCATATGTATGACTTATAGATACATAGTTATTGAGAATGAAAGCAATTTAGCTACCTCAAGTAACATTATATAAGCCTTGTAAAAAGGCTAAAAATTAGAGATATGACTGAAAGGCTTTATAAAACATTTTTCTAATAATGATGACTAATACGTTTCATAAAGCGGATATATAAAAAAATGTATCAATTGCCAAATATGTATAAAAGAAATAAATGATATTTGGGTAGCAAAATTTAATTGTGTGGTATAACTGTATATTATGCATGGACATACGTGAAACAGAAATTCCAAAGGAGACAAAATATCAAATAACACTAATCAGGTCTCATACTGAAGAAATCTTTATGTTTTTCACAGTCGGCAATACACTATCACCCAATACAATTTTGCAGAAGAACACAGTAAGTGAGAATGTACATCTTAACACATATTAATGACAAGGGATGAGAAATCTGGTCAAATAGATGATACTTACTCTTCATGAAAGCCTATAGTTGACCTTGAACAATATTTTTTTGCCATTGCAACTAGAACTTCTGCAGACTGACTTGCATCAGCCCAATCATCTGGAGGAGGTAGTAAATTTATATTCGAGCCAACTTCACTTTCATTGGAATTTTGGTGAAATATTTCTTCATTTTCTGAAAACAATTGCTCTTTACCTGATGATGTACGTTCTAACAGCCAACAGTGTAGCTAGTGAAAATATATACAAAATGAAATTAACCGTTTAAGATGATTTTCTACTAACATGTCATGAGCAAGTCTGCTTTAAGACAGAATTTTTAGAAATAGGGTTGTGTAGTGTATGTTACTGATCAATGCAACTAAGAAACTACTACTTCTAAGTAATATTTACAAATATAGAATGTTTGAAACGATGAGTCATTTTTCACATTTGTGAACAGAAAAGAACTGGTTAGCATAACAAAACAAAGCGGACAAACCGTTTTGGGTGTTTAAACCACTGGACAACTTAAATGTCATAATTGGTTTAACAGAAGTGAACTATGAGTTGATATGCTGATGGTCATTTAGATGTTTAAGTCAATAAATTAGTGTTCAAAAAATATCGAAATAAAATAAGATGATAGTGAGTATGAGCAGTGTTGCTCACCTGGAATAAAGTTAGTGTTGGATCAGCAATCCGATGAAATTCACATGAGAATCCGGTAGTATACTGGTTGACTAAATCAAATGGATTGAAACGCCATTGACAGGACGAAATTTGAGATTCGATTTCATTAACTTCTTCAATATCTGATTGTTGATCACCAATCTGAAACAATTCCGTAAACAAATTACATGACCTTAAGATTCAAGAGAAAATAAACATACATTTTTATCATAATTTTGTTTGATATAGTGTAGGTGTGAGATCACACAGTCACCCCTAGTTTGGACATATTTTCATACCTGGATGTGTTAGATGTGACAATATTAGGGTGTTATCGAGTTTACCAATATCATTACCGAAGCTGTCTCTTAGTTTTTTAAGATTTGGAAAAGATTAAGCTTAAGGGTAACACACATGCCTATCCAACAGATTAATGATACGAACAATGGGTTTTAAAGCATATAAAGCTCACTGTTTTGGTTAGATTCTATATTAAATACTTCTTACATTCATAGAAACACCTCATCTTTTCGAAAACCTAACACTAACCACTTTACTAAGTCAGATGTTTAAAATTTGTTTCAACTAAGTATATACTTTAACGTAAATATTTTGTTAGAATAAAGATTCTCTCTACCAAAATTCCACTTTTCATCTCAAAGAATTTTATTTTAAGCTAAGGTATCTAACATTTAAATGCAAACACTTATTTGAATGATAAAGTGCATGAAATATACGAACCCTCACCTCTAAATTTTCACCATCTTCGATTTCTGAAAACAGTTCTTCATTTGATGATATTTCTTCATAATCGACATCCTGTAAGTAAAACAAAAGGACATGTACATCTTAAATTTGGTAGATGACACTAATGATGATATATACTTCATAACAAAAGGCAGAAAATAGCGAATTTATACTGATATTTGCACAGAACAACCTAAGTGAGGCTGAAACAGCAGTTAATCTTTATTTAACTACTTTAATCAGAAAACTCAGGTAGTATTTTTAGTATGCGCAATTAAAGTAACTAAAACCACCGCAAATAAACCTCATCGGACAATGCAACTGATATATACTACTTTATGATCTTCAACCAGTAACTACCGATCAAAATAAAGTCTTAGATATTTAGAAGGAACTTCAAGCATCACAAGTCACTCGAACCTTTTTCAGAATGACGGTGAATTCCTGGTTACGAAATAGACTGAACCGCATAAGACAACGAAACGAGGATGCAATGCTCCAGATGATGACATTCTGTAAGCCTTTACACAACTCTATGGATTAAAGTGAGCATTAATTATTTGGTATGAACAGTAAAGAAAGCCTATAAGAATAACTGCAATTCATGGCTTGAAGGACAGAAATAGAGCCAATATATTCCTAGTTTTAAAATAGCCTTGACTTTAGTGAGCTTTTTGTTTCTGAAACTAAATTATGAGTTAAGCGACTAAAAACGGGATTTTTAGAAAATATGTTAGTCAAAAGAACTTCTTTTGGAAAGCAACTAAACAAACCAGGCACAAAAAAGAAGGATGATGAAAATAGAGTAACTAACAAGCTGATGACTACAAGAACATTGCTTGTGTATTCAGTCACATTTATAATAACAAATGTCAGCAAAGATTATATCCGTGTCTAAAAGCTGAAAATCCATGCAACCATTTGGCAACGTTCCATGAAACTTAGAATTACCGTACCTTAACTCAATCAATCAACAGCAACGTAGAGCATCGTACGTACGTACATCACTTCAAGTTGCCATACCACATTACCACAGAGATGCAATTGTCAATTCAAATCCCATAGTGGTAGAGGTAGTAGAAGTATTAGAAGTAATCGGAGCGATTAGGGTTCGAGGATATTATTCAAGAAGTATAATTCAGTGAGATCAGTTTAGAAAGTCAAAACTAGAGGTGTTGAAGAATCAAGAAGATTAGGATTTGAGAGAACACAAAGAATAAATACACCAGCGCCATTGCGAACGATTCTGAGCCATGTCATTCAAGGTCTCTAACCATCGGTGACTCGTCTCGCGGACCCAAACCAGGTGGCCTACATATACCAACAGGACAAAGTCCAGTTGTTAGTGACTTCATGGATTTCTGTCATGTTTTGGTCTGGCCGCCCTTAGCTTTCTTACAATCTATTCATACGTCGCAAAACACAGCTCGACGAGGCAGTCGATGGTTAGGCATAGTAAGTCAGTCAGTTACAAGATAGAACTTCGTACGCTACTATAACCGTTTGCCTATCAAACAAACTTGAAAACTGTAGATTATTATAGAAGTAAATGCTTTACCAAAACTTACTTGTATTTCACCGTCTTCGTAAATACCAGCAGTCTCTGCACTCAACGTCTTAGAATCATCTACTTTATCCTCCAGTTCAGTCTCCGTGACAGGAATAACAGAGGATTGCTCACTTTCAGGTTGTAGTGAACATATATTCAAGGGTTGAGAATTCATAAAACTATTGGAAGGTGTTTGAACATTACACTGCTGCCAATTACCCGAAACATCAGGCTAAAAACAAAAGTCAGACTAGTTGAATGAAAATAACACAATGAACCTCAAAAGATAAAATTTTAATATATCCCGATGAATACGATAACCTACGATGCACAGAAACAGAAATTGTCTGTCGCAAAAACAGCATAAGCTATTAATAGTAAGATCATAAAGAGGAAGTTAAGTAAACAATTTTCATATTTGAACCTACATTTAAGTTTCACACGGACACAATGACAAAAATTGCCAGAACAAGTGTGAAATCTAATCATGATAGTACCCAATGTTTATTTATGCTTATAAAGGTCACCACTTGAAAAGTTTATTTTCAGACTAGTTAGGCCAAGATAAACAACCAAGATTCCAACAATAACCTGAAATATAATAGTCTACATGGTCAACTCAGATCTATGAATAACTATTTACAACCTAAATAAGATTGACGGAGACTCCGCCTTTATATATGCCACAAGATTAGTAATCCCGTCGAAGACCACAAAGTACATTAATGCCTGAGACTTTATAACAGTTGTCACTGTTGAAAATAGACTACGTTCGTAAATCTTTTGGGTAAAATAGCGAATCAAGAAACCACCTAGAAATGATCAGTGATAAGTTATTTCAATTGCTAAATGATCGTTATTTGTACTTCAGCATTAAGAAAACTAAGGACATACCTTTGGTTCCGTCTGAATTTCAGGAATTTTGTTTGAGGCGTAAAACCCAGAAGTAGCTAAAGTTTGAGAGTAATTTTCTACATACTTGTTTCTACAGCTCCGATATTTAAGCCTATTGTGGGCGGGGGGATGGAAAGATTTGTGGCTGGGGCCAGTGACTGAACAGAAAGCGACATGGCAGGTAAGCCGAATAGTGCGATCGTTAATGTTGAGTACATTCCGCGAAAAAGCAAAAAATTCGACTGAATTGGCTTTTTAAAGTAGATGGTATTGATTCCTCTTTTCTCACTGAAAAAGTGTCTGTGGAGATAGGTATATACATACAATAAAAGCTCACTTAGCAACATTCTGCAGAACAATGCAATTCGTTTGACTATTGCTGTACACCGTTATATCAAACGATGCGGGATTAGTAGCTCTGTTTTATTCGTAGCAGACTCAAATTTTTGACTTACCCCAGGAGTGGTTCATCCGAAAGATTACTCTCGACAACAGAACCGAATGGTAAAATGCAGATTTTTACCAACTCTATACCACTCTTAAACCTGACACAATCTACACTCTCCTACAAACAAAAGTTTTGAGATCTTGTAAGGGAATTACCTGAATTTGTCCATTATGAGTAAAAGTGTCAAAAAAGACTATGTATGAGCTTGAAACCATAATGTGCTAATGAAAATACAATCAAAGCCGAAATGCCGCGCAATGTATACAGCGTCCAATATTCTGAATCAGATTATAAGATTTTTACGAAGTATACCAAGACTGAAGGAAGTAGTACCTTGCTACCTACTTTTAGTCCTATGAAGAGTAGAGTATAAGTCTTACAGTAACATAGACATTCTATAAATTTTGTCATCTCAATAAGATATTGTCTTTTTGCCTTGGCAATATTGTTTATGTAATTATATTTCCATTCCATGCACGTTTATAATGTGTACTAACTGTACGTGGTATATAAAAAGAGATAATACGATATGCTTTAGCTATTTGCTATCAGTTTGTCAAAACATATCAGTTTGCATCGTCTTTCACTGCGGTTTTGATGATAACGTCGTTCGGTCATGCTGAGTGACTGTGTTGTCCATATTTCGGGCTCCATTTAGATAGGTTTATACCTCCTGTCATGTCTTTAATGTCAGGTAATCCTGGGATGACTGAAGGCACACACGTACATGGCCGGACGACGACTCACTGAGCTAGGGGTTAGGCGTTCGTGCAAAAGCCTAAGGGTTCGATTAGTCGTGGTGGGATCGTGGATGTCTACCACTGGGAATTCCAATATTACAACAGAACAGAAGTGTAATGATTACTAACCTTTAATTGTGGCTCAGATTAAATTGTTAACAAGCGCTTCTTCTGACTTAGACTGTCGAATGCGAAGTGAACTTTCTAAATTTGGTTAGGTTCTATAAAAAACCTTCATAACTGACTTATTGAATTTCGCAGGTCTCAGTTGTTAGATAATGTAGAAGGTGGATAAGATTATTCTTTTCGTTCACTGAAATCCAGCTGTTAAAATTAGTCATCTGTCTGATTGAAGTTAGTTTCTGTAGAAAAGCGTGGGTTGAAAACGGCTATCCGATTCGCCTTACAGAGGAAAACACAAATGTCAGGTCATTGAATCCTGAAATTTGGCCACCAAACATGTTATCTGAATCTGGCGTTTAAATAAGACTAAATTTTCAAAATGCATACACATCAGTTATCAGTAAGAATGATCTTTGTTGCTATGTTTTGACTGATATACACCAGTGACAAATTGTTTCTGGAGTCCACAAAAAATAAAATTTCTCTCCTCGTCTCAATGTGCATTTTTCATATCGCTTGCTCCTATGTGATGAAACGCCTGCTTGCAACTCCAGGGTAATTTAGTGGCTGCGAATTGCCAAGTATGCTATGAAACAAAGCTCCCCTTCAGTTTCCGTATATCATACTTAAGCAAACCCTATTTATAATAAAAAGAAGCCAAATAAATAAAAATAAATAAATAAAATAAGAAGCCAAATACGGATTCGGTCAAATGAGTTTATTTCAAGCAATTTTTAATAGAGACACACACGAGAACAGGACCACAAAAGAGAGATGAAACAGGGAATTCCAGCTAGCTAACTCGGTTCCATGAAGCATGACTAAGTATTTATAGTCAGGCAAAGTAAGGTAGACATGCGATATGCAAAGTGAGCAACGCACAAGGATACTAAAATAAAAACAACCGAGATTACAGCTAATAGCCGGCAAGGTCGGAAGACGTGTGAATAACTCGAGAAGAATGGACTGATTTAATTGTCCAAAGGCTGACATAAAGTATATACACCACATTAGAGAGCTAAGAGGTAAATCGTTGTTAATTTAATAAGTCCCAATCACTTCTCTGGTCCATGTGTGGATTTCAGATTTGTTTAAAGAATGAATGAAGACTTCTTCATATTCAATCAATTATCATCTATAGTGCCCCACTTCAATCGCTTGTTTACTTCTGTGTTTTGCCTGTGCCATGGCTTCCTCCACAAGTGTTTGGCTGTTACTGATTATTGGCATCCTGTCCTTTCTTACTGACGGACATCCGTTCCTTGTGATGAGAGTTTTTGTATCCCAGAACCTTAGAACATGTTGGAGTCATTGCCTCTATGATCCCTTCCAAGTTGTTCCGCACGGTAGTTTCTCCTTCATTGAGTAGATCGTGAAAGGTTTGGAACGTAGTTCTGAAAGTTATCTTGAATTCGTTGATTTTACCAGTATCCTGAAGCGAGGCCGCAGTAAACATTTGCGATTTCGTTTTCCGAGTTGACCATTTCTTTATTCGTTGGTCGGTCAACATTAATTGGGAGGTCCATATGTGCTGCCTCAAGGTTGGGTTGATTCAGCGGGCTAGTCTATTCAGTAGTGCTTCAAAGTGCTCTACCCAGTAGTTGCGCCGTTCTTGAATGTCGTGGGATGCAATATCTTCCATGTTCTTCACTGGTCGTTATAGTTTGTCATATTGGTTCTCAAATAACGACATGTTACAAGAAGCATGTGAGTCGCTAAAATATTTCCTGTAGAAGATTATTCGTTCAGATAAATATACCAAAATATGCACTGGCTATTATCTATAGAGGGCTAATGCTTTTTCGGATAAAACTGTAGATAATGTTTCAGACTGCAGAGTATAATACGATGGATGGCACGAGTTACGTCATTTGCTTTGCGACGAACCACAGGTGGTTGAGAACCGATGCAAAGCGAATCCAGGACTGCATATAACAAGAAGCGATGGGGTTAATGTGGGAGGATATTCTTGTCGAGATTCGTCACATAATGAATTTTCGAGCTTCTAGGCGAACTAACCAAGCATATCTTCATTGGATTACTTTTCACTTTGGAGTGCCAAAAGTGAGTTAACTTTGGTTCGCCAACTTTTGAAGTTCCGTAAAATCCTCCTGCATATCCAACTGATCGTCTTGGCTGCAAACATTCCCCTAAAAATTTAACATTGTCAGTGAAGAGTAATAATTGGTTTATGGGAGTGCAGCAATTTGGGACCGTGATTTCATTTAAGTGGTATGACAACACCACACTAAAATGAGTTGCCAAGATTGAAGCCGATTTCTTCAGAATAGCAGTGTGAACGAAATTTAGGCGAACAGTGTTCATTTTTCGATGAGACAGTTTTTCATAAATCAGGTCTGGGATTAAGTTCAGTCCTGAGATTCCTCAATGGTTTCCGGTGAAGCTATCGTAAGTGTCGGTCGTGAACGACTGTTGAAATGTTCGAAGATGCCTTTTTTACTGCATCACCGTGGACATCAGTTGAGCCGTCAGGATTTAACAACTGTAAATCTCCAGCTTTGACTGTGTGATGGGATAGGGTCTAATGATTGGAGACATATCTGTTGACCACCTTGATTAGATGTAGACGTTTCTTTCATCTCATCACCATTTTTCTTAGGTTCCTTGTTAGATTGAATTGTCTGTCGGTATCAGTTCGTTTACATTCTGGTGAGTAATAACTTTCAAGTTGAAGAATTCGGAGAAAGAGTTTACTTTTGACTGGGTTACTGGTAAATTCTGAGGACCACTTGTGGAACAGTTTGCTGAACATACTATTTCGTTCAGTGAGAAATCCCAGTAAGTGTCCACATCGAGTTCCGGATAGGTTTTCCAGTACATCTGCAACACATCTTCGTTTAAACCTCAGACACCTAAACTTTTGAACTTCCAACTCTTGTTAAGACTTCGATTTTTTAGCTCCATTTTTCCAATAAAGCTAAAGTTCAAAGAACCGAGCTTCAACAGAGTTATCAGGTCGACTGAATGCTCACTTAATAATGTTGAGTTTAAGAAGATTAAAGTATCTCAAAATTAGCAAGCCTGTTGCGTTTGTATTTAACTATTTGGTGCTTTCAGTTTAAAGCACAAGAGAGTCGTGATCCTGTTTCTTTGAACGAGCCTCGTTTGAATGTACAGTCAACCCACTTATACAGGGCTTTTTGTTACGGGAGGAATGAAGACATTTGGACGGTTAAAACCTTTATATTAATATCATTAATTTCACTGTTTTTCGGGTATATTTGTTTTACTTAACTTATGAACTTGTTTGAATTATTATTTCGGTCATTTTTTGGACTCCTGTTTGTCTTGGTTTGTTCGTTTACAGTTTTTTGCTCCAGGAATCTATAAAATTGAAGAACGACATTGGTCGTCTATTTGTAATAAACGAACGACATTTTGGTCGATTATTGTGAATTAAGAATAAACTTTGGTACCTACTTTGGAATTCGGTTTTGCTTTGAATTGGGTTCGTGAATTGCAGATAGATCGACACACCGTACTTCTCAGGAGCAAGGAGCAAAAAATTGGACGTAACACTTTTCGAGTGGATAATTCCTGTTCCTTCCACGTGTTTCTCTCGTACTTGATACTCTACAGGTGGAATTATTGGTTCCAATCAAAATGAATCTTGCATCTGGTGGTCTGTCTAGATGCATGTGGATTCCAGTTGGCAACCCTTGTTTATTGGCATGAAACCGTGGTCTAAAATCTCTGTCCTTCTCGGCTAGCTGCACAAGTTGGGCCAATGCATTTTTGAACTTCAAGGTCTATGTGATGTACTCCTACTCATTAGCAACGCTGACTGCGTAGTCGGATTTCGAAATTTCCGGAACACCTGGTACGATTTTGTTTCCTCCGTGAAGGAATAACTCACAAGACTCCTTTGGGATGTCGCGGATAAAACTGCTCTCCGAATATGTTATTTCTAACTGTATCTTCACATTCCCTTTCAGATTATAGTGGATGATTCACCAATTGGATATCCTCCGTACCAGCAGTGATAATGAACGGTACACCCAAAAGTCTTGGATGGTTTTTTCTGCTTGATAGGGGTCCACTCACCTTCACTCAGACTTTTGAAGATCACAGTATTTTTTTTAACACGTTATTCTGGTAAAAAAAAGTTTCCTGATACAGTTTAAGACGGTCGACGTTCTAACGACGCCGAGTTTCAGAGCCCTTGTAGTTGGTGCTCGTTTCGTCCATATAGATATTGTCGAAAGCCATCTTTCTTCCCGTATTCGGTGACTTTCTTCGCCCATAAACTAACGGACTGTTTTTATTCATGGTCGTCGACAATTTTTCCCACAAACTCGTCAAAAGACTGGTAATTTTACCCAACATATCTTCAGCGTCCATATTGCAAGTACTGCAAGTCCACATGAAACCTGACTTACT